ACCCAGTATCTTTTTTGTATAGCCTCTTACCAGGACGTCACCAAGACGAACAGGTCGTCATGGTGCATGCGAATTCGCATAAGTCTCGGATTTTTTGTTAAGGACGGTTTCCAGCCAAAAAATCATCCTTAGGTAAAAAGAACCTCTTTAGACACCTTTCCTCTTTAGACTGCGCGAACGTCATGATAGATACCACGCCCCAACCTATCTCCATTGCAAACCGCTCATCTTAAGTGTTCATTTGTGATGTGATTTGGCTTTTATATACTTTCTTCTTCCTCTTCCATTCCATATGCACTCTGCCTATGTTTGCTTATTTCACTCAGACTCAGTCTGATTAACAGCGTGAGGAAGATAGAGACTCATTTCCGTTTCCCGTATTTTCGTCAGTCTTTTTATATACGCGCCTATGTATAGCGAGACTTTGTAAAAAAAAGTCTTGAAAGTTAGGGGAGATTCGTTTTCGAAAAGGCTAGAAAACGACGCGTTCCGGAGTCTGCTGGATAGTTGGTCAAACAGAAAGTCTCGACCTATGCTGATAAAATTTTGAGGTTGTACTATTCTGACGTTGCCTCAAGCTTAAGATAGTAAACCTTCATTGTATCATTGTACATTGTGATTCCACAACCTAGGTGCAACCAAAGTTGGCTCACAGTCTCACTAAGAAAGAGACGAAAGAGACTTAGCAAAAGCATGATTATGCTTACAGTTCGTCTCAGTTGTAGTATGTCTTCTCCACAAACCCTATTCTCCCGCGCCGAGGTCGTTGATGTGTAGGCGCTCAAATCGCTCTTATCCATCAAAGATCGGTGCACACCCTCGCGCAGCGGATACGTAGCCCTAAGCAGCACGAACGCGACTCTATACAGACTCTATAAAAGTGTGCGAAAATGTGAGGCGGTCGCAGCAAACCCCTTCGGTCAATCATCCTGTATTACAAATTACAAGTTAAGGTCTAATATGAGGCTTCTCAAACAATAGACTTTTCCATAAAATCAAATAACCACAAAATTTAAGACTGTAAATTTTGTCAGTTGAAGTTACTTTACAGAAGATACTTAAGTTAGCAAAAGAGCTTTTGGAAGGGGGGGGGGATACTAAAGATCAAACAGTGTATATATAATTTAGGGAACCTTTGAACATTGACCTGGTTGATCAATGCAAAAACGCTTCGAATCTCTCGACAATGGAAAGCGGCCGTAGTTCATGATCGCGTTTATCAGCTCAAAAGCTTTTTTTTCACTTACTTGCATTTTTGCATTCAATCGATCATCTAGGGCAGAGTCAGATCAATTTAAAATAGTTCCAAACACCTAACACTATCAAGTTTGTTAAGTGTAGTCACGCTTTGCGATGCGAGCGCTTCTATTAGGTCATTCGGAAATTTTTTCGCTTTTTGAGCATTCGAAGTTTGTGCCACATTTTCTTAACTTGACGTCCATCCTGCACTATAAACGATCAGCTCAGCTACTGGAAGCCATTGATGAAGACCCTAGGTCTAGCTATGCTACATTATCAGCAGGCCTGGAAGTATCTGCTAGCACCTTTTGGAGCCACCTCCGTGAAAATGGCAAAGCTAAAAATCTCGACAAGTGGATCCCTCTCGAGCTGACGGAGTCGCAAATGAAAGTGCGCCGCGAGGTCTGCTCTTCCTTGATTCAACGTAATGAAGACGATCCTTTTCTGGATAAAATCGTCACTTGTGACGAAAAATGGATCATGTATGACAACAGGAAGAGGTCTTCACAGTGGTTGAATGCGAATGAGCCACTAAGAACTTGGCCAAAAGCACACAAACAATTCAAGAAGGTTATGATCTCAGCTTGGTGGAATAGCGCAGGCCTGTTGCACTGCAGCTTCCTGAGACTGCACGGTAACAGCGGAGTCGTACAGTAGGGATCTGGAGAGGGTACATCAAAAGCTGCAGGTTGAGCGATCCGCGCTGGTAAATCGGAAAGGAGTCATCTTTCTCCACGATAGCAAAACCACATGTGGCGAAAGTGACCCACGAAAAACTACAGTAGCTGGATATTGAACTTCTACCTCATCCGCCTTACTCCCTGGATCTTTCACCTACGGATTACCACTTCTTCAGATCCCTCGAGTCTTTCCTGAAAGGACAGCGATTCAATGAAGAGAAGGGTGTTGAAACGGCCTTTCGAAGATTTGTCGGCTCTCTGGATACCGCTTTCTTCAAGAAAGGAATAAGCGCACTGATGGAAGGTTGGCAAAGATGTGTTGAACACAATGGTGCGTATTTTGAACGAAAATGTTGGTTCTGAATGAAGTTATGATTGTTCAAATTTTTGGGTGCAAAAGCGAAAAAACATTCCGAATGACCTAATATTATAAAAAGTGCGGAGGCCGGGAGCATTGCTTGCCGCCAGGGCCCGGCACGAATCGATTTTCAGGGTTTCTGAAAACGAGTCTCTCCTGATTCGAAGATTTCACGAAGTCCCCTTTGACCGACTTATGAGAAGATGAAAACAAGAAAAAGTTACTAGTCCGAAAGAAAAAACGTGAGATAAGAGTGAAAATACAAACTAAAGCTCTATTCCATGCATGCAGAGTTTGGCAATGGAGCGCCATAGCAAAGCAGACGATTCAGAAAGAAGTTAAGGCCAGAAACAGAGGAAAAGCAATGATATAAAAATGTTTTCATACTCGAGGATAAATGTTTCAAGGGAATCCGTCCACGATAGAAAAGCCCAAAATATGCGAACTTACAAAAGTATATGCCCCAAACGATCTCAGATCGTCTGGTGGCCTTCTGGAAACAGACTAAGTTTGGAAAAGTTTTATTTCACAGAAGCTTTCAAAAATCTTCACACAATTCTTCTGTAAATAATCTTCTATGCCTGCAGTTCAAATTTGGTGTCATAAGCTTGTCTCTGCTGTCTGCAAACAAACGATTTGTCAACTTTGGCTTTGTCGTCAAATCGCGCGCGGTTCTCGCAAGGCATGTTGGAGCACGTAATGTAATTCCATCATGTAATAACTTGTCCTCAAAGCTTGTGCTTGATCCACTGGTCGCATTTGGCGCTGTAGGAAGTGTGTTGAATTGTCTTACACAGTGCATGTGCAGTTCCTCCAGAAACTACGCTAGTAATGCATGTACACAATTTTTTTCGGAACTCGGTCCCGGATTCCGTGAAAACGATGTCCCTTTTGCTATGTTGCCTAAAAAAGTCCAGCCTGCTTCCAGACGAACTGTGCCGGGCCCTGGTTGCCGCGCTACTCTGTGTCGGTTACAAGGGTCAATACGCGCATTGCCGCAATCACCTCCGGACACACCTTGCTTTAGCGTGTTGCCAGCGAAACGGCTATTTTTGTGGCGGCAATATTTCTTTTCCGTTTCGTTTTGGCGTTGCCTTCTGTTGACTCCCGCTTCGGAACATTTCCTGTACGTATAGCTTCGAGCGGGCCATGATAAGATTGAGACCTTGATTTGGGATTGATTTTAAGCCGAGCTTTTGTTGAGATGTTTTGGAACACTGGATTAGTAAGATCTAAAGAAGCTTGATAGCGGAGAAGCTGTTGTGCCGTGTCTCCAAGTTGACGACGCGCGGCGGATCTGTTATGTGAAAGGAGCACCATGTGTGAAAATCAGGTAGAGACGAGCCATTGGTAGCATGAAATCTTGAACCTCGCTCGTGTTGGAAGCTTTGTTCTAGAAGTAAACTCTTAGTTTCCTAATTTAGTTGTTATCTGGTGTAGTTTTCTTTCATCCTTTTATTTTATCACAATAAATAGTTTGCAATTACTCACTAGTCACGCGCCTTAGCAGGCTGAATGCGTTGTATGCACAAACCGGGCGAGCTTATCTCGGATAGCATTTAGGTGCTGCGGATCCACTGAGCTGCCACCTTTGTGAATCGAGTGGTGAAGCTTATTCCGAAAAAGGATATAATAAAGTTCTGCAAGAGTTGGATGCAACCTTTTCTCCTCTTAACTCTTTGGTTTTAGTCGATGCCCATACATTCGTCACAGTTGAAAGTATAAGTCAAAGCCCTTACGAAATTCTCGCTTTGAAACATGTAAAACTTGTGAGTAATCACGACATGCTGCATCTGTGTGTCTAGTGTAGATCGTAGCTGCACAAACACGGCTCCGCTTCCCTGTATATGTCAATGTTGCTGAGTCTGTGCGTCAACCCAAGTCACGGTCCAGTTCATCAAAATTCTGCAATGGCATCAGAAGGATGCACGAGCCGCATAAGCGTTGAGAGCGGCCTAGGACGGATTAAAAAAGTTGTTGTAATGTTTTGTATGTCGTCTTTTTGATTCCACTTTTTCACCAAGAAGGTAGGACATCTTTTTCTACTTTATAGTGGTAGTGGTAGAGTTCTACTAGAAGAAAGCAGAGGAGAAAGAGAAGGGTTTATTTGGTTGTTAAAGGCAGTGGCTCGGCAAATCTCACCCTAATCAAATTTTCGCTTACCTGGGGTTTCCAGTGCGCTGATCCCGAAAAACTTTAGAAGGTGTGAAAACGTCGAAAACGAGCGTTTTTCAATGCACTTTCCTTTGGAACTGGACGAGTGCAGCAAGGCTGATGACGCCGAATCGTTGCAGGACCTAATGGTTATAGCATTGCGGCGGGCAGCCTTCAATAGTGAGAAGAGAATTCAACTCGTCCGAGAGCGTGTAAGAGTGGCTTGCGCGTGTAAGTTTAAGAGCTATTTTCTCGGGGAAGGCATGCTATGCGACCAGGCATTGCAATGTTTTCATACTTGTGCGATAAGCAATCTACCACGTTGAAATCTTGAGTTGTTTACAGTCTGCTCCAATCCCAACCAGGCCAAAATTGGCATGGCGTGAGTGCGCGCCGCGAGGTTATTGCGTCAGTTTGCGTCTACGACTAGCTAGTCTGCTCTCTCCTAAATCGCTTCGCTCTCTGCGACAGGGCAGACTGTAGTTTTGCCGATCCAGTGCCTTTAAGGTCTACTTTCGTTGCTTGACTGCGTATAGATTTTGTAACTCATTTAGATTTATTACAACTTATCAAAACGATAACATGCAATAGTGAGCATAAGGAAACATGAATCTGTTAAGGAACCATCGCGTCCACGAGTTACTGTACATTGAGTCAACAATGTCTTGGTAAAGTTTGAACTGTTTTTGGCTTGAAGATGCTAAATGTGACCAACTCGACGTCCGCTCATTCAGAAGCTTGTAGGCGTTCTAGAAAAAATGTGTATAACACTTAGTGTGATGGCAAAAGTCATACCTCAACAGATCTTCTATCGCAGGTCTTTCCGTCTTCTTTCAAAAAATAGAAACCGAGTTGTTTCATCTGAAATATAGCATTACTCAATCTGCAAAACAGAGTAGAATATTCAGTACTTTGCGGGGCGAATCAGTTTTTACCTAATCTAACTTTTTTCCTTTTTTTTCTACTAACAATGCCGTTCAATTCTTCCAACTGCTCGGAGAGTTAAACGCTGTCGCTGTAACCGCGCTCATCAGTATCGAATTAAAGGCAGCGTCCGGGCAAAATTGACCTACCTCAGATGCTGTCACATTTCGACAGGGTCCCCCTCAACTAAGACAAAACAGCAAGTCCGCCCCGAAAATGTGAATTCTGAAAGTCAGGTGGGCGGGTCAAGTGCCGCTCCCCTTCCTCCTTCCGCTCCCCTTACGCCTACGAAGACGAGCTTACATGTTTGACGCGCCCCTTTGACGTGTCGTTACACGCAGTGTTTCTACCTTTGACACATGTTTTCACGTGTCACTACACCAGATAAATTTCGGAACACTCGTCCGCGATTATTGAAATAGGGTTCCAGAAACGGGGGTTTTGGAGATTTCAAGTAATTCTCGGTTCGGATTTAGATTCAGGGGCGTCGAAAAAGCAAGAAACGCTAGAAACATGGAAGTCGAAATTTTGCCCGGACGCTGCCTTTAACATGAGAGCGAAGCGATTTCTTGTACTGTGGCGCTTTCAGAGTACCAAGAATTTGCTTTCATCAAACGTTCCATCGTCTTGCCATGTATGAGGCAAAGAAGTGAGTTTTTATAATAGAAAAAAATCAAAACTCTAGGCTCCATATTCCTTACCTTGCCTAGTTTCCCTCCAAGATTCGTCTCACCATCAAATTGTATAAAGGATGGTGAAGTATTTGTTGGATCAGCATGTAACCAGTACCAGTTGGTGATCAAGCTAAAGCAGAACAGAATAGAATATGGAGATTGCGAAAGCTCTAACGAATGTGCAGGTATGATTCCTTTATCCTATCTAAAAACTGGTCATCCTACGTAATAGTTCAAGTTAAAGCCCATTTTTATAAAATCAAGTGGGCTCAGCAGAGTCGAATCAGATTTATTTTAAGAAGTATAGATTAACTATCGAGATCGGCGTAAATAAACATGTCTGTGAGAGCACTGCGATTAGTGTGAATGACAGCAAAGAATGGTCATCACATATGTACTTGTAAGGAACATAACGAATTTCAAGTGAAAAGACTGAACAAAAAAATTTTCCAGAAATTTTTTTTTGCTTCTCTGTTGGGAATAACGGAGGTGTTGGGAGTCACTAATGGAGTCTCTCATTCGGCTCGGTCTTTTTTACCAGCTGCTGCATGACACAACAGTCACAAGAAATTAACAGAATTGTTCGAAATGCTAATGCTTTTCTTTCTTTTCATAAAGAAAGTAGTGGGCCCTCATAATGGGTCATAATGAAAGTGCTAATGCTGGTGTTCGGTCTTTGGCAATTTCCATGCGTACTACCGATATAGATGTTTGCAATGCTGAAGACTTTATACCGTTTACCTGGCTAATATGCTGACCTAATGCTGTAGTTTTGCAGAGTCTTGAATTTACAAATATGCCCTATTCTGTTCAATTCGAGTTGACCCATTGCAAGAAAAGAATCACAGGAGACCTCGAGCGAGGTCCAGCCAATTCGATGAAATGTGATGATTTTTTGCCTCGTTTAATCGGCAATGCAGTACTTTGAGAGGAATTGAATATACAAAAATATTAGGTTGGCTAAAAAATAAGTTCGGTCGTTTTCAACGGTTTGTAGAAATATAGAAATCAATTTATGTAAGAGTGTTTGGTACCATTGGAAAGAGCAAGGAAGAATCGGATATCAACCTTATTAGAGCGCCAATCGTCATTTTGACAACGAATTTGTGCAGGAAAGTGAAATAGTCAATTTTTTCATCGAATTTCCGAAAAACCATGCTCCGAAAAATGAGGTTAAGTTGGGTGTAAGTTGCACAACTGGAAGCCAATGACAATTTTTGAAATTTCCAACAGTTTGCACGACCATAGACAGCCCAACTCAATCGATCTGGATTGCCCAATAACTAACTCCCATGCGCAAATGCCTGGAAATTCTCATATTTTTGGCTGGAAAATTTCACCAACAACAGATCAAGTCTCCATTGTGGTGTAGCCAAAGGTTGTGCATGTCTAGTACCAAATTAGTCGCCTTGCACTCACTACAGGCTGAGAACGAAACTTAGAAAATTAAAAAAGCTAATTTTCAAAAGGCTAGACTTATAAAGGCATAATTGCTAATTATTGATGAAGAAAAATTGTGAATATTTGATATATGATAGTGGAGGGTTGAAGCTACCTATCTGCAAAAGAATCGCTGCTAAAAATCTGCTAGTCGAATTGTTATAAAATTTCGAAATAGCATATAAAACCGAACTTATTCATTAGCCAACCTAATAAAATTGTAAAAGATTCTGCGTTCTCAATGCGCTCCGTGGACATGCGTCGAGCACATTACTTCACAGTCGAAGAGCCTACTGAGTTTTTGGCTATTACAATTACTTATGAAAGTCAACCAATTACCAAGTCAGTGCTATTATCCTTCCCGATTACTCTGGTTCCAATTTACAGTCCGGGGAGGGGGGGGGGGGGGGGGAGTAGAGGGCTTGGTTGGCCCAGCAGCGGGATCGAACCTTAGTCTGATTCGGTCATGACGGGGCCTCATACCACTACGCCACTCGTCCCCATTTTCGAAAATAGGGCAGTATCAGCAAGTGACGGCTGACTCCGTCTTCTATCTAAAACTTGATAAATCAACCACTTCTCGAATTTTGGATTAACATCACTATTCTGACATACTCAGTAACCATTGGGGATAGTTTGTATTGGCCCACTTTCAGGGCCCAACAATGGTATTTCTTATGCAGACGTGGACGTTGAACTTTCGGTTAGATCAGAATGAGTTTTTGTTGCATTCGAGGTATAAGCCTGCTGAAGGCGTAGATGAAGAGCTCGGACTTTAAAAAGAGATAGATTGAAGGGGTCCTCGAGTAGGGAATCCTATCTATGGAATCAGTTTTGTTGTTTGACTTTTGAAATTTGTTTTTGCAACCTTAACGCTGAGACAGGTTTACTGCAGCAGCCTTAGATGACTAAACCGGAAATTTACTTTTTCCCTCATAAGTAAGGATAACTCTCGTTGTAAACAACACTTTTAACTCCACCAGTCAGTCATTCTTCAAAGAGTAGCCGCTTTTTGGGCACATCCAAATTACTCGTGTTCAAAAAGCGACAAGACTTTGTGGGAGCAGTTATAAATAGTTTTTGACTCACAAAATCGTTAGAAGTAGAACTTGGCCAATTTCAACAGTTCCAACAAGGTGATAGATTTTTTTGGAATCTAGCTGTCAAGTTTGCTCTAAAAATTGAGACAGAATTGTTACTGAATCTTCTCAGTTATAGAGGGCAACAATGAAATGTGGGGAGCACACGAGAGAAGTTCGCAAAAGGCGCACTAAATAAATTGCTGCGAAGGTGTCCTCTTTCCAACTTGCTTTTCGTGTTGAGCAGAGAGGCATCTTCTGCTTTGGGACAGTGAGGACCTACTTAATCCTCATAAGCATTTGCAACCGTTAAACCTCTGTTTCCACTGATTTTCGTAAAAAGATCCGCTCAATCTAACGCGTGTAACTTTGCGCAAAAGAACGTTCGGTAGATATAGAAGGCAAATTTGTAGTAGCCCTACCACGCAGGTTACGACAATTTGCAGCTTGTTGGGAGCGGCGGCTTCGACTTTGAGTACTTACTTGTTATTGTAGGTTCATTTTGATACATGAAAATCTGTCGAGCTACTACGCTGAGTGGCTGCAATTTTCGAACAGTTCAGGGCCCAGCATCGAATTTTCTATTTATCCCTGTCCCACGCTTCAGACATCCATGATCTTCTTGGCTGACGATGGTGGTTGCGTCCACGTGTTCCAGGTGCAAATTGTATTCAGCTGATAATACAGCTGGTCTATCCGTTCCACGAAAACATCTGCCCATCTCATTGGAGGAATCCATTCTAATGTTCTTGTTGTCCATCTGTCACGAAGACGGGACATTCTTCTCATATCTGTACTGCGAAATCCGACAAGATGTTGTTTGTGTCAGGTCATTTTCAGAAGACTACGCTCTAGCGCTCTGTGGGTGGTCCTTAAAGCTTTCCATGTAGCTAAGGTGTCCCTAGTCTCAGCTGCGTAACAGAGCGCCGGGAGAACGGCTGAGTCGAGCAGGTGGACGCGAAGCTTCTGATCCGTCAGTTGGTCATTTGGCTTCCTTTTGAGGCCCGAAGGCGCCCAGGCTACTCTTCCTCTCCTGTTAAGTTCTTCCCTCAAGCCGTTCTCCACGCTCATCGAACGTCCAAAATACTTGTAAGAAGACGTCTCCATAATAGTGGTTTCCAATTTTATTTCTGCATTTTCGCAAAGGGCGTTCTTTATAAACTGAGTCTTTTCAATTTAACTGCAGTCCGATCTTCTTTCCTACTTCGTTTAGTTCTTCAGCATTGTCTCTGCTTCAGTTACTGGAGAAGAGAACGTTGTCCTCCGCAAAACGAAGGTGCGACAAGAATCTCTCTCAACTTGTATGCCTCTCTCGTCCCAGTCCAGTAATTCCATCATCCACTGCAAGGCCGAGGTGATCAGCTTTGGCGAGATTGTGCCGCCTTGTTGGACTCTCTTCCCAATTGGGATGGTCAAGGGCCGATGGAAGAGCTGCATCGTTGTTGTACAGTCTTTGTAGCAGTTGGCTAGTGTCCTCACGTAGGCTGGGGTTTACTCCTCAGTCAAATAGCCCTGAAAGGATGTCGTTGGGTTGAGGCCGTCAAAGGCTTTCTCGTAGTCAAGGAAGGTTAGGACGAGAAGCAGTCGGTACTCGCGGCAGACTTCTATGACCCTCGAAACCGTCTGGATATGGTCCATGCAGCTGCTAAGATAATCGCCAGGGGCAAAGGACCGTAGAATCGCTCTTTTCTGCAAGCGGTCGGCAGAATTTTAGGGCGTGGCCAGACCTTTAGCGTACTGTACTTCTTTTACTGCCACGTGTTCTGCCAGTGGGCAGCAATACAGAACTTCCTGCGAGCGGTCGCCAACAAGCGCTGGCTAAATTTTCAGCGAGCTTCGGCTCTTGTTACGCGTTTTCGAGCGTACGCCGAGCAAAGGTAACACTGTACATGGCAGAGGTTTCATCGATGCTTCAATCACTCGATTTTGGGGTACTTTCTTTGAGCGGAAAGTACCTACGGGCTATGCGGCCCTCAATAATTTTGCATATCCTCGCGGAAAGTCCGCAAGAATGCGGTTACTGCACTGCCACTAATCTGCGAGAAGGCCGCAACTGTTCTCCGAGCATTCGTCTAAACTGCAAGCTGACCGCAAGAAACAGCGAACTATTTTTCCGGTGCCCGCTTGCCCATAAATCGCATGGCCGCCTGCCCCCGGTGACTATCTAAGTGAATTCTTCACAAAATGTAGTTTGTCCTTGGAGTTGGGCTTCATCTAGTGTCCTAAATACGCGAGCGAGGATAATCTTCATAAAAAGCTTGTACAGCACACTCAGCAGGCATATTGGGCGGTAATTCCGAAGTTCCTCCGGTTCACCCTTCTTGAAGAAAGGGACGCTTGCGTTCTCCACTGGTCGGGAATCCTTTCCTTCTGAAGGTAAGATGTCAAGTAATCAGGTGCGGAGCGAGAACCTCGTCTAGACGTCGTCCTCCGGCTCGCAGAAATTTAACGGGAAGATGGTTTGGTCCTGGAGCCGTGGATGTCTTCATGGTCTGAATCGCCGTGCGCACTTTAGTAGGTAGATTCGTGCTGGTACTTCTCCAATAGGAACAACGGGCATCGGCACGATTGCTGATGAGCGGAAGTGGTTCTTCGCGATAGATTCCATTTGATATCGCGAAGAAACTGGGATCCCGTCGTTTAGTAGTGCAGTCAGCGGCACATGATATTCACAGAGGTCCCTTAGGCATTTACTCAGACTTCGTCATCCTACTTTCTGAGATCCTCCTGCAAAGCTGTTCTGCAAGCGTTGGCTATCAGTTGCTCAAGATAAGTTGCTCTTGGATTTTGCCTTAGTGATCTTCTTACGAATAGTTTTTTGGTGGTCTTCGAAATGCGTTCTGAGTTCTTCTCGTAGGAACTGAAGCGCACTCTTCGCAGGCTCGCAATCCTTCCAGAAACCGGTCGTACGTTGGATCCTCCTCGATGGTGCAGTCCACTCGCATGAAAATCTATTACCTCTACTAGCCATCCTACGACCTCCACGTCAGAAGACCATCAGCATCATCAACTACTACTCTTCAACATCAGCATTTGATGAATCAGAAGTAGATGCTTTCTACGAAGAAGCGGACGAGGTCGTCCAAACGAGATTTTTTTAAAAGTTTGTTGTGGGCGACTTCAACACGGAAGTTGGCCCACTAGGAAAGGGATATAAGATCGGGAAGTTTGAATATGAGTTCCGGAACAAAACGGCATCAGTCTCGTTGGGCTTCTCTCCGCCGCACGACTAGTCTATAGAAAGTCCATCCTTAAAGAAGATACAACGTTGCCGGTGGACTCGAAAATTGCCCAACGTAACGACTAGCGCGAAAATCTACCACATTCTCATTAACCAAAGGTGGAGATTGCTCATTGTAGTAGTTCCATCCTTCTGCAGTGGCTCCGCACCGCCTCCTCCGAGCGAAAGTATGATACAAGTCACCCGAAAGCTGAAAAGAAAGGTATGCCACAATACCGCAAGAAGTAATAATGTCGTTTATGACGGTAACAGGCTGGAACAACTCAAATGAGTTGTGACTGAGCCCGTCAAGAAAGACCCAAAATGCGACTGTGGCTTCTGAAAGATTGCGATTTTGCTGAGAGTGCGACTCAGTGACTTCGGAGAGAAACTTGGACTGATTTCGAAGACCACCAAGGATTTGCTCAAAAAAAAAGAATATTTTTGAGGCAGGATCCGTATGCAAAACGCAACTCATCTCGAGTGACTGATAGCCAACACGAGTTGCAGAACAACTTTTGCAGGAGGATCTCAGGAAGCACAGGCAAGCCAAGATGCTGTTAGCACGAAAGAAGACGAAGTCTCAAGAAGTGCCGAAGGGGCCTTTGAATATTGCGTACCGCTAGCTGCACTTCTGAACGAAAACGAGACCCCGACTTTTTCCTGATATAAGATGGTATCTGTCGCAAAAAACTTCGACATCAACCTCTTCCGCTCATCAGTACCATGCCGCTGCCCGTTGTCCCAGCTGAAGTACAAGCAAGGATTAAGTGCGTACCGCGATCCAGACCATGAGGACGTTCACGGTTCCAGGACAGGATCATATTCCGCCGAATTCCAGCGAGCCGGAAGACAACGTTTACATGAGATTCTCACGTGGCATCTGACGTAATACCTTCAGAAGGAAAGGATTCCCGACCAGTGGAAACTCTTAAGACCGTCCTTTTCTTCAGGGAGGGTGAACGGAGGATCTTCGGAACTATAGCCCAATATGCTTTTTGATTGCGCTGCACAAGCTTTTCACGGAGATTATTTTCGCATATCTAGCACTATATGAAGTCTAGCCTTGGGAACAAGCTGGATTTCGCGAAGGATTCAGCTGCATAGACCACATTTAAACAGTTTCGAGGGTGTGTCGGAGATACCGACTGCGTCTCGTCCTAACCTGCGTTGACGACTGTACAACAACGACGTAGCCGTTGCATGCCTCCTGACCATCCCATTGGAAAGAGGTTCCAACACTTTCAACGAAGCTGTTCACCGCGGCCTTGCAGTGGGTGATGAAGTTATTGTACTGGGACGAGAAAGGCATACGAGTATGGGAGATTCCCGTTGAACCTCCGCTGCGCGGACGACATCGTTCCCTCTTCGAGCATTTTCACTGAAGCAGAGACAATACTGAAGAAATCAAAAGAAGTAGGGAAAGAAGACCGAATTGCGAATAGATCGAAAAGAGACTCACAAAGGAAGGAAGGTTGGTCGAAGTGGCCTTTTAAGATGAGATGTATACTATCTTGTAGAGCTTTAAACGCTGATTTCAAATCTGTTTTCGCTATCTGCTGACGGCTTCTAGGCGAGGAGTTATGGATGTTTTTGTGAGTAAAAATTTAAATGCAAAATTAGTATAAAATCAGACATAACTTTTTCCTAACGTTTGAATGAGGCAGCAGCGAGTTGACCTATTTGAATCAAGAATATTTGTTGCACCGAGTGACCCGACCACCAGTTACATCCCAGAAAAAGTGTTTTGGCTGACTTTATACTAATTTTGCATTTGAATTTTTACCCACAAAAACCTCCATAACTCCTCGCCCAGAAGCCATCAGCAGATAGCAAAGACAGATTTGGAATCAGCGTTCAAGGCTCTACAGGACAATGTACATCTGATCCCAAAAGGCCACTTCGACGAACCTTCCTTTCCTTGTCAGATCATAAAGAACGAGCAAAGATAATGCGGAAATGGAATTAGGCACCCTTTCATGGAGACGTCTTTTTACATGCATTTTGGACGTTCGGTGAACAAAGATGACTATTCCAGGGAAGAACTTAACAGGAAAAGAAGAGCAGCCTGGGCAGCCTTCGGGCCTCTGAATGAAGCCGTCGACCAACTGGCGGACCCGGAGCTTCGTGGCACTATCGAACTCAACCGTTCTCCCGACGCTCTACTGCGCAGCTGACATGAGACTGAGGTCGACAGTGTAGCCATGTCGAAATCGCTACGGACTCCTCAGCGCTTGAGCACAGGCTTCTGAAGACAGAATAGACTCATTGCAAAAGCGAAACGTCCCTGAAGAAGACCACCACGAGATAGGCAGAAAATGACCAGCTGACTATCAGCTGCACACGATTTTCGCACCAGGGTCTTTGGACGCAGCCACCGACGACAAGCAGACGTGGATGTCTGAAGAAAGGGACAGAGACTACTGGAAACTTTTGTGCTGGGGCTCGCACGCCAAGTGAAGATCCGAACCATCTAAGTATCTAAGTGAAAAAAAAAGTTGGCAGTTGCACCATATGGTAATTATTTGCTAGGCAACTATTGTGCAGCCTTCTTCAAAACTTTTTTCTTTTGAATTTGGCACACTCAGTTTTTGACAATAGTTATTTATTTCGTCACAAGCGCTGTGCTGCAACTGTTCCCGGACTTCCGGATCAGTATGAACGCAGCTTAAAAAAGCAACATTCGCTTTCTATTCTCCTAACACACATAGTTAGTAAGCCGTGGCGCGTCGTTCCTGCTTTCGTCGTCAAAGATCACTCACACTTACTGAGGTCTCAAAGACCACCGTCAAGGTCGCTTGCGCCATGATAGTGATAGGGAAAAGAGTACCTGAACGGCAGACCACCACAGCTCGCCAAACCAGAAAGCTCGCAAAGTGACGTCATATAGGCATTGTCGGGTGCATACCACCATGAGATATCCTTTGACAATCGCTCGAAGTACGCCAACGCAGAAGGGCTAGGTTTAGCGTAGTAATAGCCACCTGAAACAAATGCTTAATTATTCTCACGAAACCCTGCTTTTTGCTCCGCACGTCTCCCAGTTTTTTATGTCAGCTTAAAATTAGAAGAAGACATTTCTCCAAAATTGTACGCTGTCATTCGTGATTTCCAGTAGTTGATTCACTCCGTGTCGCGGACCGAATTTCTCATACATTCAATCACCAAAGACAGATTTGCGGAAGAATAGTGATATCTCTGTCTCGATAGGGGTTTTTTGAAAGCAGGACAAAAATTATTATTGTGACGACAATGGATTGGTCGATAACTTCGATTCTTAGTCTATTAGTCACTGGACTGATGGATAAGTTTTTCCCATAAACCTATGTTATAGTTTTTTTTTCTTCTTGGAAAAAGCGGCATGTGTCTCAACAGATATTCAGGCAGTTTCCAAAGTTGTTTTAATAATGCTCCCAGTGCATTGAGTAGTCGTATTCTTACAATGGCTTGCAAAGTTCTGAAAAGTCCGTAACTGCGGCCGTAATCTCTTTTCATTTTTTTGAATAGCAGTGAACAATCATATGCTGCGTGAAGATGTAGCAAGATAGATCAAAGCACTCTTTACGCCAACAAAACTTTACTATATCGCATAACTGACGTTTATAACTAAAAATCATAAGATAGATAAGATCATAAGATATAGCCTCTGCCTTACCCTGTGAGAATGAAAATGCTATACACTTCCATTACTGCTAGTAAGAAATGTCCACAAATATTTTAACTGCTATTGACAAGATCTAGAATGTGAACCGATTAAAAATTGCATCGAATGTATCCTTGAGAAAACATCCTTTGTAGATCCAAACTACAAAATACGACATAACTTTAATTAGCTATATGTGCCTTTCTAGTCTACTACAACCTGGATCAACGCTACAGTCAAGGCAATCGTTCCTCTTTTCTATCATGACTTCCCCTAAATTGCTGGAAGTTACGCTAATGCGGAGATAGTATAGGACGTTGCATTTACTCACGTAGCACAGTAAACATGCATTCGGCATAATTTGATTTGATTATGGCAAACCTGTTCAATTGACGGCAAATTTGAAGGTAGTTACATGAGAAACTATTGCAAAAAGCACTTGGGAAAAATTAGCGCAATTTTCACCTTAAAAATTCAGTTCCTACTGTGTTAAACATTATGAAATTTTTCAGCATTTCTTACAACAAAGAAAACAAAGACGAAAATAGTTAATAACTAACCTGCTATCAAATCTCCAACTTCAGAAGCTCTATCAAAAATAATATCTTCACTTCTTGCATCAACATCTACGCTGGATAAGCTATCAGCCCAAAAAGTGTCCTAAAATAGGTTTGTTTCCCATTCTCTAAGCCTGGCATCGATGTTGTGTTCAAGAAAATCATTTTTCATTCTTTATTGACTTTTCCCAATTTTGCCGCTTATACAAGTACGATGCAATCAACATGAGGCTAACAAAAAACAGCACAATGTTTTCTTACCGAAATCGCTCGATGGAGCAAATCTGTTGGCGTATGAACAGCGCTTTGATTTTTGCCAGAAGGAAAAACAATTTGAAGTGTAGTTGTTTCGCGTTTTTACTTATGTAATGTGCGAGAGTCTTCTAGATGGCATCGTTTCTTTACATGGAAAGAAAAGTAAAAATTAGAAGGAGTAAACAAAAGCAAATATCGCGAATAGTTTCGTCACTTCCTAATTGAAAGAAAAAATTAGGGGGATAGATTCGATTTAGAAAATAGGTTAACCTTTGAAACACGAGGTCCTAGACTAGTCGTGTTTACTCGTTTTTGGTAAAATCTCAGACTCACCTGCTGAATCATCCAAAAAGATTTACTACTAGCCAATAAAGCTCGTGCTAAATTTGCACGAAATAGATAGAATAATTGATAAGCTCCATCTCCGTAATTGAATGGATTCTGAATATGAAGACATGAGATTTGTTGTCCTTAATTGTAGACTTGACTACTAATACAGTGCTCGAAGTTAAGACAAGCGTAGAAATTGAAAGCGCAAGTCAGGGGCTTTATAAACCGTCAAAAAATTACCTTCAAACTAGGTACAGGCCAATTTAGTTGTCGAATATTTGGCCAGAGATCACTTAAAGTGTCTGCTGCCTTTTTGTCCAATGTGACCACAAGCGATCTTTCATGTACTCCTAAGCATTCGTTCAAAAATGCAATAGATCATACAATAATTACCTTACCTTTTATTCCTTCAGTGTTGCATAACCAGTTTAAAGTCATATTTAAAGCATGGGAGTTGAGAATCATAACAAAGGCTCCTTGATTGGTGGGAAGCGAGGCTACCGTAGTTTTGAAAGATTCGCTAGTCATCTGAAGTCGTAGGCGTTTTATAGTATTTCATCAAACATCAATGCTGATTACTATGAAAAGCTCCATTCACAGAACCAGTTATGATTTCAAACATCGCAGTATCGCTCATCAAGTTTGATATTCATGTTGTAAAGTCTGCATTTTTTTCACTTCTGCATTTGCACGTTGGGGACTAACATTTCCGAAAAGGGAAATTGATGATGAAGGTGGTCTTAAGACTCACAAGGGAGGTCCGTTTAATCGAAGTGGCCTTCAAATGAGTCCTATACCACTTTGAAGAGCACTGAACGCTGATACTAAATCTGTCTTTATTACCTGCTGAGCGCCTCTGGATGCCTAGTTATGAGTTTTTTTTGAGCAAAAAATGAACCAAAATTTAGGTAAAAACAAACGTTACGGTCTTTTCAGCTTTCAAGTAGAGCAGTGTTGACTGTTAGTGTAATAGACAAAAGTTACATATTGAGTGAAGTGCTCTGATAATCAACATTGGATCTTTTGAGCAATTGTGAACCAATTTTTTTCAAATTGATCAATTTTTCAACCCCAGAAATGCTTATAACTCGGCGCCCAGAAGCGGTAGATAATGAATAATTTAGAGCCACCTTTCATTGCTCTTCAAAAGGTGTAGGAATCACACAAAAAGGCCACTTCGACTAAATGGACTCTCTTGTCAGCAAATACTTTATCACCAATTCCTGCACCCTTTGATTCGAATTTATTTTTCTGAATGAAATGCTGTAAAAAGGAAGGTTTATTCCGATGTCAAACTCCTCCCCCCCCCCCCCCTACGATATGCATATGAATAACTGAATACCCACAGTAAGGAGATCACTTTTCTCTCTAAGCTAGATATAAAGCCAAAGTTTTTTCATGGTTGTAGCCTCGATCTGTGACATAACTAAAGTAAGCAAGTGTGGTAAATATGTGTAACAAGCTAACTTCAAATTTGAAGAATCTAAAAAAACGGATTAAGCATATCAACCTGAGAGACTCAGTAGAAATTACGGAACGCAACTTGTGCTACACATACGCATCATAGTAAGGTCCTTTACTTCACAGGGTGTCCCAAGAAAATGTACCTACTGTTTGATTGTATAACTCTCTTGTGATGAATTTCGAGAAGCTTTAGGTACCATTTTGTAGAGCGAGGTCAAACTCAAATTTACGATATTGAGCGAATCATTCTTTGTTACTGTAGGATAACGTTAAGAACTTCCACCATATGGAACCATTGTGAAATATACCACGGGACAAAAATTTTTTCAAAAAATCTGAGAAATTGTGTGCTAGGGTTTTCGCGCATGCTGATTCCATCTAACAACCTTTTAAGTGTTTTTAGCTTTTTTGACGGTGTAATTACACTTTTGAAAATGCTTCCCTTGGCGAATTAGAGAAAAAGTGTTATACCCATGCCAATATGAACGCGATGTCTAGCCAAAATTTAGCTATTAGGGAAATACTTTTTTTGTTCCAAAAATCTCTAATCTCTCAAATTAAATAATGTGATAGTGTATGCTTAGTTATCAGAGTGAGTAATATTTGGTCACTGTCGAATTTGCGCTGACTATCAAGATGGTCGGTAGTTATCTATTTTTGGCTTATTTTCTCCAAGTTCACCATTTGTCTATGAAGATTATGCATATTCAAGTTGATTTTTTCTATAAATGTAGGCGAAAAACAAATGAGCTGCACATCATTCCACAACATATCGAGAGTTAGATTGATAAGAAATACGAACTAAGGTTCCTATTTTGATACTCATCAATCATTAGTACTTTTTCAAATCCCAGACAGTCTATCGTGCACGTCATGGCAAACCATTGAAGAAAACCTACCATTGCGTCAAAGCTAACTTCATCCATATGTTGTTGTACATAATGCATAGATATGAGGGCAATAACTATTTTCCTTGCAACGAGACCCAAGAACACATAGAGTAATAGCCGTCCGATAGAAAGACGTTTCATTTTGAGGTAGGATTGCTCCAGAAACTATATATACAAGTGTGTCAAATCTGCAAATTGCGTACAATAAAGAGCAAGAGGGGGCGTGGTCAGCGACTTTTACCTTACCTCCAAAAAACACCAGTCTGCAATGTTTTTTCTTCTGGGGTTTCGATGTGTTTGGCAAACTCTTTTCTGGAAAAAAATTGATCTTGCGAAAATTGTGAACTCTAACATACCAAACTGATCGGTGGGCACCAAGATAATCAGGAAGTGAAATTTTTAATATTACCGAGTACCATACAACTGGGTAGGTGTCAGTCGTATGAACCCGGGTTTATATAAAAGTGAAACCGGAGGCGCAATCGTCTCGAATGCCACGAACGAGTGCGCCGTACAGTAATTGGCGTTAATGAAAAGAATCGTTTATACACACTGGAATATTTTGGAGTTACTTCCGCAAGCCGGTTCCTGAGTCCGGGTAGTGAAAAATAGGTCAAAAATCACTCCGTTTTAATTGTGGAAAAACTTCAAACTCATAATTCCTAGCTTGTTTGGTGTTGCTGAAAATTTCGGCATTTTGTGGACAAAAGATAAATGAGCAGTAAATAAACATTCTTGATAGAATTCAGCATCAAAAGTTGCACAAGCAACCAATATAGGTATGCGGCTTTTTCACCAAAACTGGATATGCCGCGCGTGTCGCTGTCAGCTGTCAGCATCGTAAAGCATGTTTTGTGAATTAAGCCGTGTTTCGGTCTACCATAATCCCTGTGAACGCAAGGCATCGATTAAGACCCCCATTCAGAGTCGCAGGGCTACCGAAAGTGATTTTTGATCTTTGAAGTGAAACCAGAAAACACTTCGAGATGAGATAATCATGCCATTTTTCACGTGATCTTCATCTGAAGCTTATTTATGTCCGAAAATGAAGTAAATAATTTCTAGAAGACTCAGACGTTATCCAATCTAAAAACCTGAGAGCTATATTTTGACAGCCAAGTATTGCATTTCTTATTTGCTTGCTATTTTCAGGGGATCTTCGTGACTTTGTCGTTGAAAGGCTACACATCTGAGCAATAAATTTGCATTGTGATCACAACATTGAAGATAGCTGTTGTGTGAATTTCTATATTTTTTTTATATAAAATGCACCAAACGTTTAGTCAAAAGTAACTCTCTTGCTAGAACAACTTTCGAGCATCTTTAGGTAACACATTGTAGAGCCGGATACAACTTAGAATATGTTATGAAAACCAGCCATCCCTCTGCATTACGTTAGGCTTTCGTTGATGACCTCCGCAATCACTCTTTTAGTGGTTTTTACCGTAATCCTGCAGTGATAAAAAATCTACCTTGAACCTACGATAGAAAAAGGATCAGTGATCCTTTATCTAACGTAAGTTTAGGCGGATCTAAATCCATGAAAACTGTTCAGACATGAGGGTTTTTAACGATCAAGCTCTCAATACATTATTTGGCACACCCTAACTTATTTATTCACTTATTTAATTATTTGCTTATTTATTTATTTAGTTATTCAATTATTTATTTTCTTATTTTCATCTATATATTTACTACCTCTATTTATTTCTCTACCTCATTTTTATTTATTTATTTTTATTTATTTTCATTTACTTATGTAGGGATATATGAAACAGTGCTAACAATTTTATGGGATCAGTATCCCAAACTGCTACATCTTTGATGTTTTGTTGCATTGTTAGCTCCAGGAGAAGTGGGTTTTGTCCACTCAAAAGTGTCGGACTATGCGCACTACAGAAAATTTGATGATGGGTGTATAGTTTTCAAAACTGCTCTGATGGTCTCAATCCTCCTTCACTTGCCTTTACGGATAAATACAGGTGGAGAATTAAGAGCATCAAAGCACTGCACTGTATCTTACAAAACGTTCACCTCTGTTCAGGGATAAAGACAGCTTGAGTAGGATTGAGAGCAGGTCAGAGCAATTTTGCACGTTTGTGCGACTCATCAGGTGTGCACTTTGCAAAAAGACACTGTTATGAGAGACAGAATCGGCTAAAGAAGGATTGGGAGCAGCGACAGGCCGCAACTTGTACGAAGTCAGAACAAATCGAAATAGCAAACATCTAAGCAAAATTTGAGCGTCGAAGCTCTTTCTGAGAAAGGATATGGTACAAGATTATAAGGTATCTAGATGCACCTTCCATCCTCCTTCTGAATTTTTGATTTTATTCTAAGCTTTATACACGCCACAATTATGATAGGGATGAGCGAGCGCTACCATGCTCGCAAATCACTGATTTGACACCACCGCTCAGCAAAGCTATCCTGTCCTCCGATCACGGCTCGGCACAGGTGGCTTGGTAAATAAGCTGGATATCGTTTTTGGGGCAAAAAGCAAAGGGGGTTTCGTTTTTATGGCCGAAAAGACACAAAATTGGCGGCGTTTCTTGGTCGACGTTAATAAACGGTCGACGGTCGTTTTTTTGGAGAATTTTTAGGATTATGGTTGAGGATCAAAGGGGACTTCGCAAAATTTTGGGAAAGTCAAGGGGGACTTCGTTTTTTGCGTTTTCCATAAGCCACCTGTGCCCAGCCCTGCCTCCGATACCGGCGCCAGGGCTCATTCCTATAAAGGGTATGCGACAAGCCGGGCGATGATATACCCCGTCGATTCATTGTCAACTACCCTAGAAAAGCGGACCCTGCAGAAGCGGGAAAAACGCGCAGATAAAAAAATTTCGTTGAAAAATTTTTGAAAAAAAATTTCGCTAAATTTCGTTTACATCATTCCAAAGTTCTCGCTCCGAATACATGCAAAATATAATGAGTACTTCCATATGCCTGGGTGAGTGCCTACTGTAAATGATAATCACATGTTCATGGCAGTGTTGCTGAGCTGTTCTACCCAAAACCAGAGGTGCGATGGGGGGAGCCGGGCCCATCAGAAGTGAAAGTGGTCCCAGCTACCACTGGCCGGCCAAAAGTGAAGGTGGTAGTGCCGGACACTCACCTCCCAAAAACGTCGACCGGGGGGGGGGGGGGGAGAGCATTAACGTCTTCCTTCCAGGTCGTTGCCGCCAGTGCGCGGAAATTAAGCAAAACAAATGAAAAAGAGATCCTTGACATATTTGTGAGTATACAGCGCCATAACTATCTAAAATAAACCTGCTTATCAAATAGTGTATTTGGAAGCAAAACTCAGCGGAATTGCACGTATTTTATTAATCAAATTTTGTTATAATGTACAGCGAAGAAAGTAGATCGATCCAGGCAGTAACGGCCGAGAACCAGAATTTCGAATGATAAAATAATGAAAAATCGTGAAAAATCATTCCACTGTTACAAATCTGCTGGCTGAAGACCTCCGCAGTTGCAACTTCATAGGTTTTGAAGGGTAAGTGTTGTTCTACCAGACAGTGATAGAGTCAGTTTGATTTGAGGATTGGCCGCCGAGAACGAGAATTTTGAAAAACCTTAAAAATCTTCTCAATTTTAGCTTGCTTAATGGCAGCTGACAGTTAAACTCTTATAAATCCGGACTTTGAATGTGTATGATGTTGCGACTTCATAGGTTTTGTAGGGTGAGGTTTGCCCTATCAGAATATGTCTTAGCTGTACCGATCCATTCAAACATCACCGAGATCCAGGCTCTTGAAAAAACAGGTAAAAAACCGTTTTTCAGCTCATAACTTCTTCAGAATTGCATAATTCATGTTGCCACTGCATATGTTGGATTCTCCTCATCGAAAGCTTTCAAATGATATATAATATGTGGGGGATTCACGCCTCCCACGGCATATGCCCGGGGGTGGAGTACCTCTCTTCACTAATTCTCCACTGGCGGCCTCCCGCCAATACATTGAAATGGGCGGGGTGGAAAATAAGTGAAGAGGAGTACTCCACTCCGGGTTAGAGCCGCAAGAAACATTGAATCCCCCACATATTATATATCATTTGAAAGCTTTCGATGAGGAGAATCAAACATATGCAGTGGCAACATGAATTATGCAATTCTGAAGAAGTTATGAGCTGAAAAACGGTTTTTTACCTGTTTTTTCAAGAGCGTGGATCTCGGTGATGTTTCAATGGATCGGTACAGCTAAGACATATTCTGATAGGGCAAACCTCACCCTACAAAACCTATAAAGTCCCAACATCATACACATTCAAAGTCCGGATTTATAAGAGTTTAACTGTCAGCTGCCATTAAGCAAGCTAAAATTGAGAAGATTTTTAAGGTTTTTCAAAATTCTCGTTCTCGGCGGCCACTCTTCAAATCAAACTGATTCTTTTACTGTCTGGTAGAACAACACTTACCCTTCAAAACCTATGAAATCGCAACTGCGGAGGTCTTCAGCCAGCAGATTTGTAACAGTTTTTCATTATTTTATCATTCGAAATTCTGGTTCTCGGCGGTTACTGCCTGGATCGGCCTACTACATAGATATATGCTCTTAATACTTTTTTTACATTTCTTTTGCTTATTTTCCTTTATTTGAGCTTTAGCAAAAAAAATTTTAAACCCAAAAGTGAAGGTGGTCACCCTGTACCAGCTCAAAAGTGAAGGTAGGCGGAGAATCAGCTCCGACTATCGCACCTCTGCCCAAAACCTCGACCCCTTTCCACTGAAGTTCTGCAATGGTGCCAGCAGGATCGTGAATCTGAGCATTACGAGCAGCACCGAAGGAGGAAGGGAAGATTTGTGCTGTTTTGTATGCAGCTTTTTTTCTGGTTCCTCAGTTTCACGTAGTAGGCACAGAAGATCTCTTCTTACTTTCTGATCGTAGTGGTAGAGCTTTTTGAAAGAAAGCCGAAGCACTAAGAAGAGTGAGTTAGCTAGTTATTATATATCACTTCTTTTGCTTGACCCTGGCGTGTAGTTGTCGTGACTCATTTTACTTATGTTTATTACACATTTCGTTAAAACGACAACATGAAATAGTGAGCATTGGGAAACAGAAATCTATTGAGGAACCATCGCGTCCATGAGTTACTGTACATTGGTTCGATGATTGCTTGATAAAACTTAAAGTGTTTTTGACTTGACGATGCTAGATCTGACCAAGTTGACGTCCGCTCATTCAGAAGCTTGTATGCGTTCTAGAAAAACCATATTCAATACTTGAAAATGCATGAATTATGGTGAAGTATGCACCCGACACGATCAAAGCAACATCAGAGTTCATAAATAGTGGAAGCTCTCATACCTCAACAGATCTTCTGTCGCAAGTCTTCCCATCCTCTTTCAAAAAGTAGAAACCGAGCTGTTTCATCTGAAGTATAACAATGTATTTTAAAACAAAGAAGTTGAATTATCAATAATTAGTAAATCAAATTTTGGTCTTCAATCCTGTTTATATTTTCCTTTGTAACAATCTTCGACTGCTCAAAGAGTTGAGCACTGCCGCTGTGAATAAAGTTCATCGATACTGAATCATTATTTATCGTGCGCATAAATCTCGGAATGCCCAGAATTTCTCTTCTGTCAAAAATTCCATTGTCATGACATTTAGACAGGAATATAAGTTTTCATATCTGGTTTCGAAAACTTTCAAAATATTAGGTTTCCATATTCCTTACCCTCTCTATCTTTCCTCCTAGATTCGCTTCGCCATCAAATTGTATAAAAGATGGTGAAGTATTTCTTCGTTCAGCATGCAGCCAGTGCCAATTGGTTATCAAGCTAAAGCAGAATCAATATCATGGATATTGCTCAAACTGCCTCTACGAGTTCTACAAATCATTACCTATTGAATTTTCGGTACTTTTCCGTTATCCGGACCCATTTTTTCAAAGAAGCATATTGCTTCTCCCCTCGTACCATATTTGGTCCCGACTTCACCGAAAGGAATGTCAATCTTCTGCCACGTATCAAAAAAATTTGACATGTCATTTATGTTTAACAGGTTTAACCAAGAGTTTGAGTTGCCCTACCTGGCGACGTAAATTCAATCTCCTTATTAATCAAAAGTGGCCCCATTTCCGATTGAACAGAATAAAAAATGAGCATTGTTATCATAATAACGCCATTCCGTAACTAAGTAAACAGATAGACGTGTCAAGAATAGAGAAATGGACTAAGATCCCATCATTTAAATGACAAAACAAGCAATAGCAAGGAACTTCAAGCCATCATTTATAGTCTCGTCTGGCTAAATTCGCAAGACGAAAAGTCTGTAGAGAAAGACAGTGCTGAATCGTTGCTGAAAGCGATCAAGATGTTCTGATACAAATTTCAAATTGTTTTGCTCTCAGATAAACGAATTAAACAGCTTTTAGGTGATCACAAATGCTCTTTTACCTCACCGGAAGTGATTTCGAAAAACATGTCAAAATGGACTAAAACGTGTCAATATTTTTCTGACACGTGGCAGGAAGGCAGTCCTCGTGGAATCCATAAAAGATTGTTCTGAGACTGAAGAATGTATTTTATTAGAGCTTTTAAGAAATTGGGTCCGGATAACGGAAAAGTACCGAATTTTCTAGTGTTCCTTAGCATCAAAACTTAATTTTCAAACACGAATAATGGTTTTAAAAGTGAGAGTCAGTTTGTTATACTTCTAGCGAAGTGATAGTTTTTTAGTACTCTCCATCAGTGTATGCTAAAAATTGCGCTTCATGGTGCTTTTAAATAGTGGATGAGAGGTGCTGCCAAAAATTCAAACACCGCGTTTTTCACCTTGAGTGCTTTAACTCCTCGGATCACCGCAAAGCCGAAACAAGACGAGGTAGACGAGGCTCAAACACCTATCGTAGAGTCTTCGACAATTGTTCTAGCGAAACATATACAACTAAGTGGAAAGTATTTTTTTCTGGAGATAAAGTTAATGGGGTTAGGCACAACCTCTCGAAATATCAGGCTGCCTTAGCTCTAGTCTCCTTGCCCCTGATCTCCTTAACTTGCCTTCAAAACTCTAAAATCGCTCCATTTTGATATTGAGCTAGAGTAATATACTCCTAGCCTCTTCTTGCTGCAGTAAAAATTTGAAGCCAAACACCTTACGGAACAATACTATTGCTTTTTCAGTAGGCTCATCCAGATTAAATCCGCAGTCAAATTGTGTGTGCATTGCTTCTAAGATTGCAGCCACAGAAAATCGGTCGTACAAACTCCGAAAATTCGAAAACTCTGTGGGACAGGATTATGTGCTCCAGAATGTCACACACTGAAGCTCCGGAAGTGAAGAAAGGAGGTTGTTTGAGGCTTGAGGAGGGGAAGTCGTTTTCGAAAGATTGTGCTTGATTTCTTGCTCAACTCTCGTTCCGCTCCTCGTCCAGTGCGTTTTTCTTGCTTCAGAATCCAGCTTTTTCGATCGAACTTGGGACGTTAAAACCTCATCTCCTCCCAGTTAACCTTCTAGAATGCGATATTTGTGTTCGCAGGTCGATTCACCCAACTGCAGAAGTGTTTTGTTGTTTTGTCTTTCTGTTTTTCAACATTGACGACAACATTGGTGCATATCTCATACTATCTCAGGAAAGTGCCCTAAACGTCCCGCATGCAAAACTCACAACCGAATTAGAATGTGAATGAAAGCATAAAAGCGAGTTATATTAGGTCGTTCCGAAAGTAATGTCGCTTTTTTCAAGTGAACGCTACAATTCGTGGAAGCAAGATTTCTAAGAGATCTTGGTAGCATTCGATGCAGCATTTTATTCTCTTTCTAAGGGTTGTGATTTGATTGCATAATATTCAATGAGCTCCCGAAAATTTACCAAAATCTTTGACTCATGTCTTTTGCCATGGTCAAGTTCGGCTAATTTCTAAATTTTTGTACCTACTCTCCGGAGAAATGCAAGTGAAATTTAAATAGAGCAAACTCTATAGGATACGAAACAACTTTTTTCTTTTCCTTAACTCGCCTCCTCGAATTTCTAAAACTAATTTCTAATCAAATTCCACATTTGGTCAACTAAAATCTCACAGAACAACAATCGGCAAGCAGCTCGGGTGTCATTCGACGCAGCTTTTTCTCCTCTTTCTAAAAGTTGTTTTTTGTTTCCGATTCATCATGTTTTCCGGGATAAAATCATCATAAAACAGGTTTTCCAAGGCGCCTCAGGTTGTACCCTGAAATTTCGAAAGTTGCTAATCTGAAGCGGTGAATGCTCATTTTTGGTTTGTAAAAATAGTGTCAAACCATAATCCGTCTTTGTAAGTTTCAAAATCCGTGGATTTATTGGTGTTTGATGCAATTGTGTCTGAGACGAACCCGCTAAAATTAGGTGGTTGCAACGAAAAATCTCTACAAAAATTATGACGAGCTTTGGAAAGTAGAAAAAAGTTGTGCTGTTTTCTGTGGGGTTTGCTCTATCCGTCCATTACTTAGACTCCTTCCGAGGGTTGTTATGAAAATTTAGAAAAATTGTGAAATTTGGCCTTCTTAAAAAGATTGGGTCGCAGTTTTTTGTATTTTTTAGAGAGGTTGTTGAATTTTATGCAGTGCTTGTATAACCATTAGAAAGAGAATGAAATACTGCATCAAATGCTACCAGAATCTCTTACACATTTTTGTTCCACGAGATGTGGCGTACGTATGAAAAAAGCGACATTACTTTCGGAACGACCTAATAATTCGGTAAAATATATGCCGAAAATTGCGTTTATATACCTTTTCTGCTAAGACAAGTTTTTTGTGGGAGTTTCCTTAGAAATGGCAACGATATTGCCCAGCGACTTTTTCTTGAATTTCGAATACGAAGACTATTAAGATTCAGTGGAAATCCAAGACTGCGCTTAAAGACAGCGTCCCACAGGCTGGGGTACCTGGCTCTGGTAGTAATGTTATAATAGACCCAGGGCCCGGCACAGATCGTCTGGAAGCAGGCTGGACTTCGCTTTTGAAGTAAAAGCAAAGGGGATATCGTTTTTGACGAGTCGCAACCGAGCACCAAGAATAAGCGCCATTTAGTCGAACACAAGCTTTTCGAGCAGGTTATCACACGATTGACATGCTCTATCGTGCATGGCGAAAAATGCGCGCGATTTGAAAGCAAGGCTAAAATGAACAAATTGCTTGTTTACAGCGCCCACAGAAGCATATGCACCAAAATTGAACTATTAGGTTATCCCGATATTAGGTTATCCCGAAAGTTTTGTCGGTTTTTTCAAACCATTATAAAACCACGCACAACGAAGACCTGAATGAGTTGTAACATGCATTCGATGCAGCTTTTCCTTCTCTTTCTTATGGTTACATTTAAAAGCCAAGATTCTGTATGGTTATTTTGATAATTGCCGCAAATCTTCAATCGTCATTTTTATCTGCTGAAAGTTAGGCTAATTTTTAAAAATTTCATTCCAAAGTTTTGGAAAGGACTAAGCATGGCTCAAATAGAACAATTCCCGGGCTAACGGTAATATTTTTAGATTCTCCTTAATTGCTGTTTCTAGCTTCAGAGAATTATTCTTTCGTAGGTCTCGATTTCTGGCAAACCCATGGAACACGCAACAGCGGCAAAAACATGAAAGCTTTTGGAATTTTTGCGAATCGAAACTTGATTGCTAATAAACATTATTTAGCAACATAACCAACTTAAATTTGCTTTAAAAAATCAGCTTTTTGGAATTTTCGGGAATTTTGCGTGGTAGACATAATCAAAAAGCCGTGGTTTTTCTTAAATAAATAATTATTTGGGACTTGATAAACGTGACCCATGTAATCTAAAATAAGTATAATGTAGCCGAAGAATAGCTCTACATAAGAGTTATTAGCGCTTTTTGAAAGGAGTAGGAGAAAAATTATTAAAATTCAGAAAAGATTTGGCGTTACTGCTGAGCTGCTCAAAAAGCCATGGCGATAACATTGCTAAGACAGGGTAGACAGAGAACAAATATAGCTGTAAGAAAGAGGATGAAAATCTGAATCAAATACCTGGACCTTCCTTGAATTGGTGTTCTATTGGTAGTGAGCGAGGGAAAAAACCGACAAAACTTTTGGGACAACCTAATATTTGTATAGAAAATTATTTGCGAAAGGATTATGTAAAAAGATTTGAAAACTTATGTGAAGTAATACCTTTTCCAAAATTAGATCGTCTCCAGACGGCCACCAGACGATCTGAGATCGTCTGGAGCATATATTTTCGTCACTTCACATAAGTTTCGGATCTTTTTAGCATGGACGGATTCCCCGGTCAAAAATCTATCCCTGAGCATGAGGACATTTTCATATCATTGTCTTTCCTTTCTTTTTTGCCTTCATTTCTTCTCGCTTTGTTAAATATCGCGCTCTACCAAAGTCTTGTGCATTAGTATTCAGTTCCAATTTGGATTTTCACTCTTATCTTACGTCTTTTCTTTCAGACTAGTAAATCTTTCTTGTTTTCATCTTCTCCTAAGCAGGTAGGTCAAAGGAGACTTCGTAAAACTTCCGAAAGTCAGGGGAGACTTCGTTTTTAGAGACTCTAGAAATCGACTCGTGCCGGGCCCTGAATAGACCCCCTAACTAAGCGACGACAGAAGTTGCAGCGCGAAAGAGGGTCTACGAAGTCTAGAAATCGCCCTCAAGTGGCCCGGATCTTACGGTAGGCTCGGGCAAGTACGAGATGTATGCAAGATAGAGACGCAGAGTCGCTGCGGGACCCTGGCTCATGACTGTGTGTGCTATGCGTGCTCTGGTCTTACAGTCCGAAATCGCTGTGTGTGGGCGGCGTCCGGCCTGCCGTAAGATCCGGGCCATTTTCGGAGCAAATTTCAAGCTTGGTAGACCCCCTTTTTGCCCCGAACTTCAGTCATCGCTTCGGTAGGGGGTCTACTTTAACATCGCCACGAAGACCCGGCACCCATCTTTGTGCCGGGACGCTACCTTCAATCCTTGCACAAATAATCAAATGTGGAAATGATGTCATCTCGTTAAGGAGTGATTTCAAACGTCGACAGCGTTAATGCTTCTAGTCTTCATGACAAACAGAATGATATAAGTAAATATGAGTGTGCTGTTTGATCGCAGATATCTCTCTTCTCACAAAGCCTTGCCGATGTTCATGTGCCATAGTATGGAGCGAATCGTCAATCGTTCTTCATTACAGTAGGATAATGGTAGAAACTTCCAGCATACACAATTTCCACATTTCCTGCATAGTGTACAGCGCCGTTGTAAATTAGCTGCCGTTTTAAAATGAATTTGGAAAAATTGTAACAGCAGGTGTAGCAGGTTTTCAAACACGCTGATTACTGCTCAACCTTTTTACGTGTTTTTGAAGTGTTTCAAATGGTGTAATTACATTCTTAAGAACTCTGAGTAAACAGACGACACACTCTCGGCACACTTATGAATGAAGCGTTAGGTTGAGCGCAAGTCGTATTTAGTGCTACTCCGTCTAGACCAATGCATTTGTTTGGAAGAATCAATTTTCTTTCTCAGGTAACAAAGGGCTGTGAATGGCTGGAAATCCTTTTCAAAGCTTTATAATCCTGTTGTAATGAAGAAATTCGGCTTTGTCAGGCCCATGGCCACTAAAGAGAAGGCCGACGTAGATCAGAGGCGATCGAAGGCGCGCTTATCGAACGGCAGCAGGCCGCAGGCCAGATCTCTTTTTCATTGTTATTGTGTTCCGACGCCACGGAAGGTGGCGCCGTGTGTTTTTCTCGTTTTTTTTTTTGTTCTTTAATAAATCTGTTTGTTCGTCCTTGTTGCTCGCCTGAAGAGGGTATCTTCCCTTACATGGGGGCCGAGCCGCTTTCTGCAAATTGAGCTTTTTCGCCGCACGTAAGGGCGAACGTGGAACTTATCGTTGTTTTGTTTTCGCCACACGTAAGGGCGAACGCGAATTCGTCGTGTTTTGTAAGGGAAAACACAACTAAAGCAGTTTTTGCAGAAAGCGAATGGAGCCGAGCAAAGAAGCTCAAGCGGTGGACGAGCACATGGACGCTGAGAATGTGAGTTTCTATGCAAGAGATAGCATAGAGAGGAGGATTGAGAGAATAAGAAAGGATTTAGAAAGGGTACCTGGGGAGATAGCAAATGAGATGACAGAGCACAAAATTTCAGCCAGGTACAAAGAAAAATACGAAATGTTCATAAGTGAGAAAGTGAGAAAATTGAGTGAGGAACTCAATGAAACGGCAGAACAATGTCGTAGTATAGAGGATGAACGGGGCGAGATGGCCGAAACCATGAAAACATTAGGCATACAATCAGTAGAGGACTGGAGAGAGTTTGTAAGGGTGGCTGAGAGAAACAGGGAGATTCTGGAACAAGCATGTAATATGCTAAATACTGATGTGCTTCAGATGCCGGCAGCCATCCAAGACCTCAAAAAGAAGGGAGGTGAAGTGGAAAAAGCCAAACATGGTGAGTCAATGCAAACTGCAGGAAACATAGAGAAGAATGCTTATCAAAAAGATGCTTTGCAGCCCCGGCAGTGCAATCCAAGGCGGACTGGAGTGCTGTTCGAACAAAGCTTGAACAGCTCTGCGTCGGGATCACCGCGTTTGCATTCAAAGGACAGGGACGTGGAACCCAAAGGTCAGCAAGACGATTTGCGATTTCTAGATTATGTTCAATCCCTCTCTTGTCCGGACCCGGGTGTTTTTTATGGGAAGCCCAACGAAAATTTCGGGGAATTTGTGAGAAAATTCAAAAGAAAGTATGCTAAAGTAATCACAGACACGGACACCCTTGTAGATATACTAAGTGATAATCACTTGGGTGGGCAGGCAAAGAATGTAATGAGAACATTAGCACCCACAATAAGAAGTAAAGGGTTTGATGAAGTGATCGAAGAATTGGGGAAATTGCTAGCAGGGGATTCGGTAGCTAGTAGGATGAGGGCCATGGCTGAGCTAAGATCCCTCAGGATCAGACCACACCAAGATGTCGCGGAATTCTGCGTTGCCTTGGAGAAGATAGGTAGAGCGGCTCATCCAGACAGAGCCATGGAAGAAAACTCGGTGGAGTACGCCGAGATCCTTCTGGATAACTTAAGGGAGTGGCCCGAATACGTTCAGTTGGTAGCGGCGTTACATAGGGTACCGCCTAGCGAAGCATATAACGAAGTGAAGCAACTGGCAATTAGTATCCAGAGAGCAAAAGAGATTTGGGAAAGGAAGCCGCGCAACGGGTCGAATAAAACGGGTGGCTGGAAAGAAGCACAAGTGCATAGGACAGTAAATTACGACGCCGTAAGGGTAGATAGGCGGCCAAACAGTTCGGGCGTCCAGTATCCACAACAAGGCAGGAGAATACAAACCGCAGAAGAAAGGGACGCGTATGCAGGGGCCTTGAAACAAAGGACGGATCACAGATGCTTTAACTGCCTCCAAACAGGGCACTTTGCAAGAGATTGCCCAAGAAAACAGAACATTGAAAGAGTTGCGCAACCCCCGCATGGGAATAATCTATCCGAGATCATCAATCACACACGAAGCTGCACAGTCGGCATCAATGAAAGCACAAGAACGGACACTAAACGAATAGGACAACCACTCATACGGGAAATAAGGATAATGAATATGCGCAAACCGGCGCTCTTGGATACAGGCTCCATGATTAGTCTCATATCAGCTGGGATGCTAAGAGAAGCACAAAAGCGAGGATATGACGTGGATGCCCTACAAACCGTACGAGTCAAAGACCTGCGACCAGTGTACGATGCTTCAAACAACCAAATGCGTATACTGGGAGGTGTATGCATTCCGGTGCACCTAGAAGGAGGACTGCAAAGTGAGGTCTTGTTTCATATAACGGATCAAGACCAGGAAGACATCATACTGGGAATGAACACGCTGGAGAAGCTGGGAGTGACACTGTCAATATCAGGCAAACCTCGAGACGGACCTGATGAGCACGTTAAGGACGTAGCCAGAGTTGTAAGAAGAACGTATGTACCACCGCATGCCGAAGGAAGAGTGGTAGTCAGGTGTGATACCACCACAACCGACGACGAGGATAGGGTTTTCTGGTCACAAAAACCAGGAGTTGAAAGCGGCCTCATGGCAATCTCCGGAAACGAAGCTGTAGTACCGGTAAAGAATGACAAAGACACGCCAATGATACTCAAGGAGAATGAAGAGGTTGGGCACTGGGGTAGCGAAAGATGGAGAGAAAAGCTGAACGATTTGAATCCATTGGTAATCGCCCCAAGTGAGTACCACATGGAGGCACAGGAGAAGAAAAGGCTACTGCATGAGCTGGTGAAAGAAAATGCCGACGACAGAACATTAGACGGGGAAATCGAACACCTACTGGATGACTACAGCGATGTATTCGCAGTGCACGATAATGAGCTGACGCAGACTACCATAGCCGAAATGGACATCGACACGGGCAAAAATAGCCCAGTGAAGCTCAAGACGCGACCAGTACCGTTAGGCGTCAGACCTAGGCTAAGGAACTTGCTAAAGGACCTAGAAAAGAGGGAAATCATTGAAAGAAGCAAGTCGGATTGGGCATTTCCAATCGTGTTGGTTGAAAAAAAGGATGGTTCACTGCGACTGTGTGTAGATTATAGGGAACTTAACAAAAGAATTAAACAGGACTCCTACCCACTTCCGACAATGGACGCCATCCTTCAAAGTTTGGCAGGGAAGAAGCTATTTTCAACGTTAGATTTATGCAGCGGATACTGGCAAATTCCGCTAACGGCCTCAGCAAGGGAAAAGTCAGCATTTACTACACCAGAGGGGCTTTTCCAGTTTAGGGTGACGCCTTTCGGCTTAAGTACGAGCCCTGCGGTTTTTCAGAGGCTCATGGATACGCTACTAGAAGGACTGATAGGATCCGACGTCTTTTGCTACATAGACGACATCATTATTAGCAGTCGGACTAAGGCAGAACATATCAGAACTTTGAGGGAGATCTGCGAAAGAATGCGAAAAGCAGGGATGAAATTGAAAGCCCAGAAATGCTTCCTCCTCAAAAACAAGGTATCCTTCTTGGGGCACATTATTGACAAAGAAGGCATCCACACCGACCCTGATAAAGTGAGGGCAATCCAGGACTACCCAAGACCATCCAGCGTAAAGGAATTGCGAACATTCTTGGGGATGGCTTCATACTATAGAAAATTTTGCCTGAACTTCTCAAAGAAAGCCAGTAGTCTTTTTGAGCTAACGTCGAGCAAGAGGCAATGGAATTGGGAGGAAGAGCACGATAAGGCGTTCCAGGAGTTAAAGGATATGGTTTCTTCAACACCGGTGCTTACACAGCCAAATCTGGAAGCAGCCAGGACAAAAGAGAAGCCGTTCGTAATATTCACGGATGCCTCAACCTCAGGTTTGGGAGCAGTACTGTCGCAGCAGGGAGACGACGGGTTTCTCCACCCCATATACTTTGCATCGAAAAGCCTGAGCAGGGCGGAGAAAAAGTACCATATTACAGACTTGGAGGGTCTGGCAGTAGTATTTGCTGTAAGAAAGTTTCACATGTTCATCTACGGGCTGCCCACAACGGTGATGACGGATCACCAACCCCTAACGGCATTATTCGAGAGGAACAACGTCTCGGCACGCGTATTAAGATGGTCGTTAGAACTACAAAGGTACGACCTGCACGTGAAGTACGTGAAAGGTAAGGCGAACATTGTAGCTGACGCCCTAAGTAGAGGGGCAGCACAAATGTCAGAGTCATTAGAAGGCACGAATGACGCCGTGGTAAACGTGATACACGCCAAAGAAGATAGCAAATGGATGAAGGAGCTGAGACAAGATAGTGACTTCAGCAAAATTATCGAGAGTCTGGAGAAGGAAGAAGTGCAAGGAGTAGTGAAGCTACCAGGACTGACTCGTCCTTTGCGAGTCGCGGACTTTGCCATAGAAAATGGAGAACTGATGCTGTACACGGAGAATGGGAATGCGGTGTATGTAGTTCCAAAAGCCGCGCGTTACGAAGTATTCCACGAGTTGCATGGGGGACAAATTTCGGGCCACTTCAATGCAACCAAGATGCTGAATATGCTCAGGAAACGCGTATTTTGGCCAGGTATGGCCCAAGATGTACAAAAATGGGCAAAGGAGTGCCACACATGCTTTCTACACAACCATCAGGAAACTATAACACCTCCGCTCAAACCGCTGGTCACTGGACATCCATATGAAATAATCGGCGTCGACATCCTAGAGTTAGGACTGACTTCATCAGGGAACCGCTATGCAGTCACGGTCATAGACGTCTTTTCGAAGTATGCAGCAGCTTATCCCGTCCCGGATAAATCTGCTAAAACAGTGGCGAACACACTTTTTATCCGATGGATTGCCGAAGGATGTCGTTGGCCTGAAACCATACTGTCCGACAGAGGAGGAGAGTTTGAGAACAAGGTTATGGAGGAAATCACTGCTATGGCCAAGATCAAGCATTCGATGACTAAGGGATATAACCCAAGAGAAAATGGGGTTACCGAACGTCTTAATGGGACAATTTTGGCAATGCTGCGTAAGACAACAGCCATTCCAACGGAGTGGGACGCGCGTCTACCTTTCTGCATGATGGCGTATAATATGACACCACATGCTGCCACAGGAGAGAGCCCCTATTTTATTTTGCATGGAAGGGATCCAAATTTTCCGACAGAGGTTTTGCCGGAGTCGCGGAAGTTACAGTATCAGGTTGATAGCCCCATAGACGAGTACAGGACAAACTTACTGCAGTCCATTTTGGAAGTACAGGAAAGAGTAAAAGGATACAATGATAGAGTTAGACAAAGCATGAAAAGAAGTTATGACAACAAGAACAAGGTGGATCCGGGCCGGCATCCTAAGGTAGGAGACCGGGTATACGCCTTGGCACCAAGTGAAAAAGGCAAAAGCACCCACCCAAAACTTATTTCGGACTGGGCTGGCCCATTTAGAGTTTTGGATACTAGCGATAATTCAGCTCTAATCACGCGCATAGGGGAGAATACGGATCCTATAAGGATACAGTTCGATAAGCTAAAAATAGTTCCAGGCTACATACCTAATGACAGAGTTGACACCCAGACAATGAGAGGGAAAAGGGGTAGAAAAAGAAAAGTTTTATTGAGTAAGGTATGCAAAGTCAAAGTTAATGATTTCAGAGGTGTGTCGCTGTTGAGCCCACTCGAAAAGGGACATCTGCTCTTCAAATGCGGAGACGACTGTTTCAAGGACAGAAAACTCGGAGATATTGAAGGAATTAACTTTCCGGGCGCAGTGGCAAAAGAACGCATAGAAAACCTATGGTCCGCTTGGCTCGCTTGCAGTATCTTCAGCCGAAGGGATATCGATATGGGGACGAAAATCAAGTTTCATCGAGAGGGACACATATGTTTTGACGCAGACGCCCTGAAAGCTGTCTTGAAGCTCGCTTACGACACCTGCATCGACTGGACAGACTTTCTTTGCAACACGGACGCAATTACGAAACACGCCAAGATCGAAGGGCATTCTATTGAGAGATCTTACAATGAAGCATTACAAGCATTCCGTCGAGAGATTGAGGGACAGGCCACGAAGGAGCTACCCACCAAGTCTGGACCAGTTGGATACGCCACTTTCGAGGGAGGAAGCCCCATGGAAAGAGATGGCACTCGAGGAAGAGTGGCAACAAAAGTAGCAACGACGTTCGCTAGACTGCTTGACGTGCTAGAAGAATGGCGCTCATACAAAGCCTGGGTAATAGTGTGGCCATTGGATAGTAATCCAGCCGATGATGTTCCGCAGAAGATGATGGTAGCGGCGAAGGAATACCTTGAGGAGGGCGGAAAAATAGTTACTGCATGGCCACCGATAACGTCGAAGAATCATGATTTGTGGCGTGAACTATCGGGACTATGGAAGACTTTTGATGAAACGCTGATACAGTGCGACAAGGGGAGGCAAGTCTTCACAACCGCGAGCAACTTTGGAATGAAAGGGAAGCTGTTTATAGAGGCAGGAGCCCCGGAAGGAGGCGCGCAGTTCTTCAATAGTTATGTGGGAACCGCCATGAATAAGTATATCTACGAATGTGTCAGAAGGCGAGCAGTGGATGCTCATCTGCCCGAACTGGACGTCTACAGACCACGTATCAGGACATCGAGGACGATGTCTCCAAGCGGGGAGGGCATGTCAGGCCCATGGCCACTAAAGAGAAGGCCGATGTAGATCAGAGGCGATCGAAGGCGCGCTTATCGAACGGCAGCAGGCCGCAGGCCAGATCTCTTTTTCATTGTTATTGTGTTCCGACGCCACGGAAGGTGGCGCCGTGTGTTTTTCTCGTTTTTTTTTGTTCTTTAATAAATCTGTTTGTTCGTCCTTGTTGCTCGCCTGAAGAGGGTATCTTCCCTTACAGCTTACTTTTCATTGTACTAAAAATAAGTGAAGAAAGTTCTACAAAATAGTACTCAAAAGTCGGCAAAAGATCTGTAATAGAGATATTGCCACTAAAACAGTGCATACATACCTTTACGACACCTTGTACATTGCTGCAAGATTTCGTTGAGAATCTGCAAGGATCTCCCTTCAGAGTCATGTCCCACCGCCTCTGCTGTTTTTCCTTTGCTCGTCTGCGCCTCCACTTGTTGCGCGCTGCCTCGCTACCAACCACCGCTCCACGGAGCAGTTGGCTGTGCTACCCCTTTCTGTCAAATTGTCAAATCCAGTTCAACCAAATGGTATATCATTCTGCAGCTCTTGATCTGTACTGACAAGTCGCCAGATCTCTTTTTTTTTTGTTTTGGACGAGAAATGAAGAAACCGCATTTTCATTTTTTTTCTTCAGATTGGAGCTTTAGCGTTTTTTGCGCACTATGTAGATCTTGTTTTTGTCTTTGAGGTGAGTAAGATCATGATGCCCGTGGCCTGTGGTTCATATGGCCTCGTTGTCAAAGATCACCCCTTTCAGATTCTCAAAGACCACCGTCAAGGTCGTTTGCGCTTTAATAGTGATAAGGAGAAAAGTACCTATACGGCAAACCACCGCATTTCGCCAGACCGGAAAGTTCGCAAAGTGACGTCATATAGGCATTGTCCATTGCATACCACCATGAAAGATCCTTTGACAATCTTTCGAAGAATGACATGGAAGATGGATTAGGCTTAGCGTAATAGTAACCTCCTGGAATTGATGCTTGGTCATGAGCTGGAAAACACTGAAGTATTCGTGCAAGCTTTTTGTTCATTTTGAGAGAATGTAACTCTGTACATCATCGTTAACTTATTGATTTGATTCTCCACACCTATAAAGAACCAAATTTCTAAACCAAGTCGCTTGAACAACCAAAGAACTCATTCATTTGAGACTGTTGTGCAGAAAATTGCCCGTGACGTCTCTGTCTTGGAAGTGCTCTTTAGAAAACAGAACACAAATGATTTTCAGCACAAAATTCATGCATTGCTTTGAATATTTTTCCATCAAGCTATCTAACGGTCTTGACATTCTTTGATAAAGCGTGATTAAGCGGTTTTTGCATTTCAATGAATGTTTCAAAGACAAATTTTTGGTAAGTGTTCTCGAACAATGTTTCGGTGCCATTTGAGAAGTTGCAGTGTTAGATTAACTTGCAAAAATTCAGGAATGCTCGTGGTTCAGCCGACATTTTGGAAGCTTTTTTAATAGCAATGCATTTTGTATAGCAAGCTTTGACTTGCTTGATTAACAATAGTAAAATAACCAGAGAAAACTTTTTATCCATAAATCCTTTTTATTCTGCACGATTTCAATAGAATTTTCTTTCTGTTTCTTGATGTTTTCTAGAATTTTCTTTGCGTTTGCATTTCTGTGCGAGATTAAAATTTGCTACATACTGCTGTGCAAGAAACTACATATAATCAGATCGCGAATTGACGGTAGTCCAGAAAATATTTTAATCAAAAATGACGAAATCTAAAGTGCTTTGAAACTTCACTTATCGGCTTAGCTTTTTGTGATATGCCCATAAACTTACCTTTTGTTGGAAAGATGCCAGTGCAGAACAGTAAACATGCATCATTATAACTTGATTATGACAAACCTGTTCAATTAACTGTAATCTTGTTAATTGAAAAACCACAAAAAATTACCTCGAGAAAATTAGCGCAATTTTTACGCCAAAATTTAGTTTCTACATTTCCAGACATCAAATGATTGCTGTGTCTAAAAATGCAGAAACTACATTTTGGCGTAAAAATTGCACTTATATCTATTTCTATTCTACTTTTTGTAGACGGGCAAGAGACCTAAGGTTTGGAAAACTCAAAACCAAAAAAAAAACATGATACAACTAACCTGCTATCAAATCTCCAATTTCGGAAGCTCTATCAAAAATAATATCCTCGTTTCTTGCATCAACATCAAATACGTTAGATAAGCTGTCAGCCCAAAAAGTGTCCTAAAATAGGTTCTTCGCTTCTTCTCAAATCTGGTACCCATGTTGAAAAGAAAACTTTTTTGGAATTTTTTATAGCTTCTTTTTTCTTATTCTCACCTGATCAAGTACTGCTGTGATCAGGATAACGATGATAAAGAGTATATGGCAATTCCATTGCCGAGTGAAAGTCATGCACTCTATCTTATTCAAAAAATTTTGTAAGACGAGAGGTGAGCGCGTTTTTCAGTCAGGTATTGTGCGAGAATCTGCAGCAGGCTGTTTATCTTTAAGCTACGCTTTTTAAAATAAAAACGAAGTAACCGAGAAAAGGGGTACAAGCGAAAAGGGAGGGGTGAATTATGGCTCAGCAATTCGTCAGTTCCAACTTGAAAAAAATAGGTTCATTTTTGGGACCTCAAGGTTTCAAACTGTAGCGTTCATGACTTGTAAAAAAAAGTCACTGATTTTCACCAGAGCTCACCAGGCTGTCGCCATATCCTGGTTCATAGTGGATAGATTCTGAATCGAAAGATACCGTTCGACTCAGCTGGGTGAGGCTCATCTTCTGATATACGAAAAAGCCCAGTTTTTGTATGATATGTGCACGGTAGGCGGTCAGATATTATCAATCTTTTCAGGTTCATTCGGAGTAAGCTACAGTAGGCAAAAATCCATGAAATTGTGACTGTCCTCGTATCACCGGCACTTCTGTAATTGAGTAGATGCGCCTCGCCGAACTAATCAAATTGGTGTTCTTGGATCCAGAATTCGTCCACTCTGAACCAAGACATGGCGATGAGACGCGGATTTCGGTAAACCCCGGCGAAATCCGGTGACTTTTTTGACTAGTTAGAGGTACTGCATATATGTTTATTCGATATGAATCATCTCAGATTTACCTGCTGAATCATCCAGAAAGATTTACCATTAGCCAATAAAGCTCGTGCTAAATTTGCACGAAATAGGTAGAATAACTGATATTCTCCATCACCGTAATTGAATGCATCCTGAATATGAAGACACAAAAATTGGAGTCTTCTAGTGCATTTGGATTCTAATATAGCGTTTGTGCAGTACCAACAACATCTGCGCGTAAAAAAATTAGCCACGCCATAAAAAAAATTTAAAAAAAATTGTCCATAATGCGCACCATTGTATGCCAAAGCATACAATGGTGCGCATTATGGCCATTTTCTAAGCTCAAGACATATGGACCTATCTTCCTTAGGAATACTATATCAACCGTCAAAAGACCACCTTTAAACCGGGCACTATCCAGTTGAGTTGTCGAACGTTTGGCCAAAGATCGCTTAGTGTGTCTGCTGCTTTTTTGTCCAGTGTAACCACAAGTAATTTTTCATGTACTCCTAGGTAGATACTTGTTTTAGAGTCAATAAATCACACAATTATTGACTTACCTTTTATTCCTTCAGTGTTGCATAACCAATTAAGAGTCATATGTAAGGCATGGGAGTTGAGAATGGCAACAAATGCTCCTTGATTGGTGGGAAGAGAGGTTACCGTAGTTTTGAATAAGTCGCTAGACATCTAAATATGCATGTGAGGGGCTTCATCAGTCATTACCTGTAAAATCTCCTATATCTTCCTATCTTCCTACACTTTCCTGTAAGTTTCAGCAACTTCGGCAGAATTCGTTCAGAGTTCATGTGCTATAGAAAACGGGTTACCAAATGCTAGATCAAATTATCATACTCTTTAATAAAGCGCAGGCACCCCCATCTGACGTCAATGTCGGTCTGTTCGTGCCACTTTTGCTTTGTTTACCCTATGCTCTATGATGCTCTATGTACCCCCCCCCCCCCTCACCTGCACTTTAACACTGCCCTTTTTTACAAGTGATCTTTGCCATTAGACTGTCTGTCTTCGGTTTTGTTTATCAAGGTTCCTCATCAGCCAAGAGCAGCCAAAAGCCACCACAACACTGTAAACGGTGAGATCGATTAGTCTCATCTCTGCTTCTACAATACTCGCTTTATTCCAGCTATCAAGGTTGGATTCAATATTCAAGTGCAACGACAGGTAAGGCATATTTCTTTTGTTGATAAACCCATCTCTCACAAGCACATAAGCTATCTTCTATCGCCCTGTGATATCTTCCTTTCGTACTTCATCGTTCCTGTGATTATTTGTGACTTTCACATTGCTCTCAGAGCAATAAAATTCAAGCCAGAGCGCACCATACATATGAAATCTCATTTCTATAAGAAATCTTTCATTTGTGTAAATATTGCATCAGATTCGGCGCTTCGACAATAGCTTCAAAGTCTTTGCATTAAGAAAAACCAAATGAAATTTTTTTCGAAAACTGAAAATAAAAGTATTACATAAACAATATATTTGTCTCTTTTGAAAAGTTCACGCCTCAGACAGAAAAGATTTGAGAGGGCGACAGTTGATGCGAATTTTCATGACAAGAGACGATAAAATTCTTTTTCAGATTAGCAGTTTCTTTTGCGAGAATCGAAGAGAAATATTTTGAGTTTTTTTGTAGGCGACTCCATTTCTGATGTAACCGCACAGAATTCTCTTTTTTCACAAAAAGGACTTTTTTGATTAGATCATTCCACATTTCCAAAACGATCACCTTTTATCCGGTCATATTTTAACGACCTAAAGATTATGATATGTACATTCTGCGCCAACAGGGTTCAAGAATTCAGTCGCGTTAGCTTAACACCATCAAATCGATCGAAAAATGGGTTATTTTAGTTTTCTGGATAAAACGATTCGCAAAATTACTGACCGCTGTCTCACACTATCTGCGATTGTGTCATCTGAATCTGGACGTTCTTAATGTTCCTGGACACATGAAATTTACAGTTGTTGCACAGTTCCATGAATCAGAAAGGAACGAGTAACCTTTTTTCTACTTTTGATGCGGTTGCACTGGAAAACTTTTTTTAGATTACTCACAAATTATTTCAAACGTAAAACTGATCGTTTTTTGAGTAGAACATTTCACAGTTGTGCTCGAATATCATTTTCATATTATGTCCGTGAATACCCAAAGATTATGGTGCAAATGTTAAATGAAAGAGTTTGTCTAAAGGAGCTATCGCTTTAGGCCCCGGTCAGACTTCACGCGACTTAATCGTCGCGACCAAATCGCCAAGATTTCCATTCATTTTCATTTCACATTCAAAAATTTCGGTCTGGAAAAGTATCACAGCCGAATGCAAGTTGATCTGCATGGAATGATGTTGTAACGTCTAGAGATTCTATGTTAACGGCATGGTTCAAACTAAACAACGAGTATGAAGTCTTGGAGAACGAGAGTGGATCATCAAATGCAGGGATTGATCCACGAAATCTTTTCTACCACCAGTTGCCCGAGCATTTCACATTCGTACGAGCAACACGAAAGTGGAAGAGAAGGGGTAGAGGTGATCGCCAAATTGGTCGCATGCATATCGTCCCTCCAACCGAACCTGAAAGGTTTAGCCTACGCATGCTGCTCCTTCATCGAAAAAACATGCGCTCTTTCGAAGATCTCCGAACTGTTGAGGGGTATGCGCACCCAACATTCCTGGATGCTGTTCGTGCTCTGGGTTTACTTCATGACGACTCGCACTATGAAAGCTGCTTAGAAGAAGCTGCTGCATTTCAGATGCCTGCGGAGTTGCGTGCATTATTCAGTTGCTTGCTTGCATTCTGTGAAATCAATGATCCGAGGCATTTATATGACCGTTTCAAAAGCGAGATGGCTGAAGACTTCATCCACAGAGGAGCTACTCCATCTGATGCAGAAGCGCTCGCTTATTTCGATGTTTACGACAGACTGCAAATCATGCGCTACGACCTGGCCGAAACGGTCAAACCACCTGCACAGAATCGGCCAGTGTTGGCAGATCAGACCGATTACTCCTCTCACGAGCAGAAAGGCCGAGCGATATACCAATGTCTGAATGCTTTACAGAAATCAACAGCAGACAGCATTTTGGCCTCCTTCAACTCCAGTCGGTCCAAGCTTCACTTCGTCGATGGTCCTGGAGGTAGTGGAAAAACTTATCTGTACAATACCGTGTATCACATATTGAAGAGTCAGCGTCTGTCATATGTGTAGCATGGACAGGTGTGGCCGCGAATTTGCTGCCCGAGGGAAGAACAGCTGTCTCTACCTTCAAACTGAATGTGAGAGGAGGAAACCGGGAATGTACCTTACGTCGTGAGGCTAAAGAAGCCACTCCCCTCAAGGAAGCAGATGTCATTATTTGGGATGAAGTGAGCATGGTTCCAAATTACTCCCTTGAGGCAGTCGATCGTCTGTTTCGAATCTGATGTGCAATGACAAGCCTTTTGGCGGCAAAATAGTTGTCTTAGGTGGTGACTTCCGACAAGTGCTTCCAATAATAGAGCGCGGTAGTGAAAGCGACATGACTGACGCATGCTTGAAAAACAGTCTTCTTTGGAGATCATTCCGCAAGCATACGCTTTCGACGAACATAAGAGCTGCAGATTCCGGCTCCTCATGGTGTGATTTTTTGCTAAGCGTTGGAAATGGAGAGGCAGAAGAAGATGAAATGGGCCGGATCCAACTTCCCTCTGAAGTAGTATCCAACGGTAACCTCATCGATGAGGTTTTCGGCGACTCGCTAACTGACTTCGACACCTTGAGTGAGCGCGCGATACTCGCTCCACGCAATATTGAAGTTGATCGAATTAATGAAGAAGTACTGAGTAAGCTTCCTGGGCAAGTTCATGAGTACAAGAGTGCTGATGATGTGATCAGTGATAATGTGCAAGCAAATGAGTACACTCCGAGATTCCTGAACAGTATGACACCGGCTGGATTTCCTCCACACAATCTGAGAATGAAAGAAGGTTCAATAATCATGCTATTGAGAAACCTTAATGTTCGAAATGGGCTATGCAATGGGACGAGGTTAATCGTCACGCACTTCGGACGTTTTATCTTGGGATGTCGGTTCGCTTCCGGAGATCGGAAAGGAAGGTTTACCTTGATTCCTCGCATAGACAACTATAACGACACAGCAGTTCCTTTCCGACTACGAAGGACGCAATTCCTCGTTCGTTTATCCTTCGCGATGACGATAAATAAGGCTCAAGGACAGAGTTTGACTCGCGTAGGCATCTCCCTTGGAACGGAAGTGTTCTCACATGGACAACTTTATGTTGCACTATCTAGGGCTAGAACAAAGGATGGAGTTAAAGTGCACAAGAAGGAAGAGAGGGTAAAGAACGTAGTGATAAGAGCAGTCCTCAATTAGCAAAAATGGAGAAGAACGGCACACAGCCATGCGAAAGAATGATGACAGCTCACGAAAAAGCTGAGATGGAATCATAGCAAGGAAGCTGAGTCGTAGATTTAGATCAGAACGCATCGTGCTTTTTTGAACTTTTTTCACTTTTCTAAAATTCTTGAAAATAAAATCTCACAATTATTTTCGTTCGCAGCTCAGAGTTATGCTCATAAATAAGCCTATCCTCTCTTTTCATGCCTTTCATGCCTGACGACAGCAATGAATAATTTCTACTTCACTTGAATTTAGAGTTTAACGCAGCTGACACTTTACATGTCTCCATGTTCAAAGCTCATGTCGTATCTTTAATTTTGGTATAGTTTGAAGTATTAATGCTCATCTCCTGTTTATTTAGTGCTCAGCGCATCCTGTTCTGCACATGAATTTTGATTTGTGATTTTTGAACTTCATTTGAATCTAAAATTTATCAACGTCGATCGTATTCGTTGCTACAGTTCAATTTTACTTTTTTCTAATGTGGTAGCTTTTAAGAGGCGCGCGTATAAGGCTAAAGCCATTTTAATTTCACATAATTTAGGTTTGAACAATCGCGTCGTACTTTGGAGTTTTGTCTTCAACTTTTCGTAGCCGAAAGTATAGCATAAAACCTTTTAGGCACGTGTAGAGAGCATCGAATAGTAGTTACTTCCTAGTCTCTAGCTCTTCGACAAACTTGAATATCTTTGGCTGATTTGGGCTCAAAAAGCTCTATGCCACATGCTACCTTATTGTTAGCTCCACTACAATCTTCGTATCTCGGATTAAGTGTGCCACTAAATGCTTCAATGCACTCCAGCTTTTTCTGTCCGTGCCATAGTACCTTTCTCACCCCTCTTTTCCCACCCGACCTTCGTCCCTTCCCTCCCCCCCCCCCCCCGTCCCTCCCCAGCCACCGCACCTACTGGTACAGAGCACAAACCCCAACCCTTTCAAGCACGCAAAATTTTTTTTAGAAAGTACTGAAGAGTGGTAAGTTAGTCCTAGCTCTTTGGCCCATAAGAAACTCCGACAGTCCGACAAAGAATTTGCTGACTAAGGTGCAGGCTTTCCCATTCTACAAAAAGCGCCATCTGCGGTAGTTCCTCATGATAAGGAATTGGATTTCCCTTTTCTTCCCTATCTCAAATCACCTACTGCTCAAAACATCCCCTATCAAGCTTTCGAATAAAATTCGAACTTCTCACTGTTGGTAGATTTTACATTTAACCGCAATCAGAAAGTAGAATTCCATCCTACTCCGCTTCCTTTCCTCAGACCCTTCATGAATGTGCTTACGATTTAGCTTACATTCACAAAACTTTATCTGCCATATTTCAAATCCCCCAATTTTCCTTTCTTGAAGGCCTTTCCTGCCTGTCAAACTCCTTTTAGTTACAATGCGGCCAGAATCCCACTATTTTGCTCAGACTATGAAATGTTGAACAGATAATAAAAATATGGCTGTCAGTGTATCAAAATTGAGAACCTTCATGAGGAAAATCACATCTGGAGTTTCTGCTGCACCACTTACAACTTTGTAAAGCAATGCTTTTGTACAATTAAGTTGTAGAAATTATTAACTAAAATAAACTGATACCAAAGTTGACCCATCCTAATGCGCTATAAACTGAAGCGAGCTATTACTCGGTGACAATATTGCTAATCGCGCTATAAACTGAAGCGAGCTATTACTCGGTGACAATATTGCTAATCAATATTACTGTTTATGGAGTCGAGCACGAAAGGGCGTTCCAGTCAACATCTCGGAAGGCAGAACATCCTGGGTGCAATGGGTGCATTCGAGACATAGCGACAAACGCATGAGTCACATGGTCCCCCCCCCCTGTGCGAACTCCCAGCCCCGTAGCTCAAACTTTGCAAAAAAATCGATAAAATCGATAAAAGTAATCGATAATCCTGAAAACCAATATTGTATTCGGAATCCCCATGCTCGATTACCCCCCTGTGCCAACTCCCAGCCCCGTAGCTCAAACTTTGCAAAAAAATCGATAAAATCGATAAAAGTAATCGATAATCCTGAAAACCAATCTTGTATTCGGAATCCCCATGCTCGATTACCCCCCTGTGCCAACTCCCAGCCCTGAAGGTGAACTCAGCAAAAAAATCGATAAAAATCGATAAAATCGATATCGATCGATGACGAAAAGTAGACTGTGACACCCGCCGGGGCCCGTAGTGTATGTGTGCCAAGTTTGGTCCGGATCGGTTCAGAAATGGAATTTTCTATTCGGAACATACGTACATACATACAGACAGACAGACAAACAGACATTCAGCTTTATATATAAGATTGACTGTTAGAAATATAATAATAGGTATTAACCTACACTGATTGGTCCCATAGCAGAAGCTCACGATGGGATTGTAGGGAATACATGGCTAATTTTTTTCTTCAAATACTTTGAATGGAGGCGAGTAGAGAGAGAAATTTTCAGATGCAGTGGCAAACGTACGACATTTTTTTCCAACACGTACATACTCAGTCACAATTAATTGAATAATTAGGTTTTCCAAATCTTGAAGACCATTAGATACTGGTTCTTTTTTGATGACTGAGTATGATTTTGACTTGGTACTCAGCACTTTGGATGCACAAGTCAAACCATAGAGCGACTCACCATTGCATCAAAACTGACTTCATCCTTATATGTTTTTACATAATGCATGGCAATAAGCGCAGTCACAATCTTTCTCGCAACGAGACCCAAAAATACATAGAATAGTAGCCTCCCGATAGAAAGACGTTTCATTTTGAGGTAGAGTTAGTTGCTCCAGAAACTACTTATATAGATTGTCAACTGCAAATTGTACAATAAAGAGGAAGAGGGCGTGGTCAATGACTTTTACTTATGAAGAAGACCAAACTGAAGTGTTCCCCTTTTTCTGGATCTTTGAATGTTATTGGCAAACCCTTTCCTAGAATGAAGTGATTTTGCGAAAGTTCACAAATTCTCAAAGTGACAAAGACGGAAAAAATTAATATGTCCAGAAAGTGAAACGTCCTGAATCCTCGGATTCATGCAGCTGGGTAGGTGACAACCATATAAACCCGGGTTGAAATAAAGTAAACCACGCTTTGTTCTCGAATGCCACGAACCAGTGTGCCATAGGCCTAAGGCATACTTCACGCGATTTGGCCAAATCGCCACTTTCACTCGACTTGGCGATTTGCCAGATTTCTACAAATTTATCGTGCGCGCTTCTCGACGCATAGGCGGGTAGCTTGTGTAAGTTGCTGCAAATGGGTTAAGTTTTGACCAAAGGAAACGCGTTAACGACGAGTTACAGAGAGTCGTTGTTGTGCCAAATCGCGCAGCGACAGGAATCGCGCGAGATATGCCTTAGGCCATACAGTAGTCAGGAACTCGAAACAATTGGCTCAAGGGCCGGGCATACTTCACGCGATTTGGCAATATTCCAACTGTCCATAACTCACTGTAAGCATATTTTGAATGTACAGAAGATAGGGCATTTCATCGATCCACGTAAGTTATGCACATTATGCATGTGCAATTTGCTAGTATTAGATCTGACGACTTCTGACGAACTGCCAAATCTCGTCGCGACTGAAATCGCGTGAAGTATGCCCGGCCCTTTACGGAGCAGCCTGGAGTCGTTTTGAGTGTAAATAAAGAGGGGAGATGCGAGGTTTGGTGAGCTTCGTAAAAAAGCAAGTATTATCAACTCCCACCTACACTCAAGATGGCCTCTCTCGTGGACTGCAGGTCCATTTCATCTTTCAGTGGCCCATCAGAGAACTGGAGCAACACGATGTCTCACCCCTGCGGTCTGCTGGTGTAACATAATAATGGGGAGAAACATAAATTTTGCCTAGCTCTACTTTTGATAAGGGTCATGATGCGTGCATTGCTATGTCTAAACACTGTTGGAGGAGGATTACGAGTGGTCAAAATCACACTGACAAAACGACTGTGTCACTGGTTTGGCGATCTTATCTGACTTAGGCTAAAAATCCACTCAACGGTGAGCTTCGCTTTTGAATAATTGTACTCACCTTACCATAACGTATTTGGTTCCCTGTAAGGGTAACCGGGCCTATCTCACGCAATTTCAGTCGCCACGTAACTGGGCAAATAAACTTTTTTATAAATTATCGTAGGAGCATTATGAACTCACGCAAGTTATGATGCTGTGCATTTGTAGTCAGATTGGGTTGAAGTCATCTGGCACACAGATCACCGTAGACCGCAGCAACTCTTCATGATTGCTCGTAAGCGTTCTTTGCTTAAGCAATAGTTCGAGCTTTGGCGACAACTTACAGGCTACGCACCTAATGGTGGTGCCCGGCAAAATGGGCCCCTGTTAAATTGGTATGTTAGAATTGACCCTCCAAGCCAATCTAGACTAAACCCCACCTGCGAGTACCAACTTACAAGCTAAATCCTGAAAGCTCTTCGAGAGCTCGCTTTATGAACGAAAAGTGGCTTTCAAAGCTCGTTTTGGACTTAGCGAATAAATGAGAGTGGGGTGGACCACTGTGCACTGATGGTCTACCACCTAGGCTTAACACCACCGCAGTCTGACCTGCGTCCATATTGGCGAGCTACTGCCTTTGAACTCCGCGCACCTGTAAGTAGACATGTGGCCAATCGCCAAGTTGCGTGGATATAGCAATCGGAATTGCGAGAAATATGCCTTAGCCGAACCTTTGAGAGACCAACTCTGGTTGAAGCGTGGGGTAAGAAAGCTCAAATTGTACTGCTTCAAGTAAATGAAAGTCAACATCAATCGCCTTTTCTTCTTTTCCCTTGAAAAAGCCGGAGTTGTGCTCACTGTTGAAGTGAATTTCGCTTATTTCTTGATGGCACAGGTCACGCCTTTTCCAGGCAAAAGCACTAGGAAAATTGTAAACATGTTGCTTCCAGGGCCCGTCACGAGGGTGGCAAATTTTATGCAAAAAATCGTTTATGAGAGCAAAGGAAAGAGGATATCGTAATTGCAGTCCATATTTACTACGCATCCTCTTGACAACTTACTACGGCTGACGTGTAAAAATAGTGCCGCGCCTCATCTTCAAACGATATTTCTTTCCTTATTTCTTTCAATTTGTATTGACTGCCTCGTTTGCAGCACGCACATAACAATGGCTTCTAATTTTTTGTACAAACAAGACCTAGAAGGAGCATAGTGGAGAGTATTGTGGAGAAATTATTATCGCTAAAAGTTGTGCCAAACTTTTTCCTGAAAACTTTCCATTAGTGAAAGTGGAAAATTGACTTCTTTGGTAATGAATCGGCTCCAAATCTGGTGTGTATGTGCGCAGTAGGGGTTAAAACAAACTATGATAAATTATGGATAACTTGTGCATTGAAAGGCATACTTAGCTTTTTCCAGATTACATGAGCATATGCCCACTTATTGTCACTAAGAGGGTGGAAGAATTTCAATTTACATATGTTTTCAAATTTTCTATTCAAACCTATCCTGCACCTAAGGCTACATAAATGGTATCATTTTGGGTTCAAATTCCTCCTCTCCCCTTTGCTAGAGTCCGAAATAGCAAACGATTCGCAGCTTCAGAGGAAGAAAACGCGCTCCAATGAAATAACCTTCGTAGTTGGTGTGGTTCAAGGGATAAATCGTAAAATCAAAGTGGCAAAAGCGAATTCGTTTAATAGGGGTCCAACTGCCAACCTTCTCCCGGGCATTGGTCTCATTTCCTGTTCTACTGCTAGTTTCCAGCAAAGAATAGTAAGACATGGTTCCGCTTTTGAAAGGGGAAGAAGACCTAATAGGTGAGCCATTTGCGCCACCTTTGAAGTAATGATCGTAGAGATGTTTTCAACAAAGACAGACTAGCATGACAGTTTTGAGATCATTATACTCATTTCGATAATATAATGTTCATTATGAACATCCAGTTCTAGTAAAAGTACACTTTTTGTAAGTAAACTTCTAAGGGTGCAAACATGGAGTCGCTCAAATTATAGAAATACTAGCTGGCTTACCCGGCTCCGCCGTATCCGGACCAAACTTGGCACACATACACTTCGGGCCCCGGCGGGTGTCACAGTCCACTTTTCGTTATCGATCGATGTCGATTTTACCGATTTTTATCGATTTTTTTGCAGAGTTCACCTACAGGGCTAGGAGTTGGCACAGGGGGGGGGAAGTGAGCATGGGGATTCCGAATACAATATTAGTTTTCAGAATCATCGATTACTTTTATTGATTTTATCGATTTTTTTGCAAAGTTTGACATGCGAGGCTGGGATTTTGCACAGGGGGGTAATCGAGCATGCTGATTACGAACACAATATTAGTTTTCAGGATCGTCCATTACTTTTATCGATTTTACCGATTTTTTTTGTAAAGTTTGAGCTACGGGGCTGGGATTTTGCACAGGGGGGTAATCGAGCATGCTGATTACGAACACAATATTAGTTTTCAGGATCGTCGATTACTTTTATCGATTTTATCGATTTTTTTGCAAAGTTTGAGCTACGGGGCTGGGAGTTGGCACAGGGGGGTAATCGAGCATGCTGATCATTCCCAAGGGGGGTGATCAGCATGCTCGATTACGCCCCTGTGCCAAATTCCAGCCCCCTAGCTCAAACTTTGCAAAAAAATCGATAAAATCGATAAAAGTAATCGATAATCCTGAAAACCAATATTGTATTCGGAATCCCCATGCTCGATTACCCCCCTGTGCAAACTCCCAGCCCCGTAGGTGAACTCAGCAAAAAAATCGATAAAAATCGATAAAATCGATATCGATCGATGACGAAAAGTAGCCTATGACACCCGCCGGGGCCCGTAGTGTATGTGTGCCAAGTTTGGTCCGGATCGGTTCAGAAATGGAATTTTCTATTCGGAACATACGTACACACAGACAGACAGACAGACATACAGACAGACATACAGACAGACAAACAGACATTCAGCTTTATATATAAGATTTTTTATCAAAGAAAATATACTAGACAAGTAGACCAGTAACATGGTGAAGACACAAAAAGTGTGTGGCCTCACTTTGTAAAGCCGTAATTATAGCAAAGCATGTTCAGCATTTATAACTACGGTCGATGTGAATTTCGTCAATTTGCTGTTTTCATTAATAACTCTTCACTTTTCGGGCAATGGTGGAACTGGATAGCCTTTACAATCTTCCATAGGATATCTATACGCTTTGGCAAGTATCTCCTGGTAACCGATTGGGAACACTTGGTGGCGAACATACATTTCCTGCAATTTTCTCCAATTACTTACTCTATTTTGTGAGAAAAAGATAAATATACCAGATTTTCTGGTTTCGGTTGTACCATGGCCAAATTTTTCTCATAGAAATACTCTCCCACCTTAAAAAGATGATCTGATTACTTGATGGTTCAGCGAGGAACTTACATTGACCGCAATCTGAATAGAGAGTTCGCGAGCGTTTTCCAATGGGGGATAGAGAAGTCCATGGTCGAAAAGCGGCTTGTCTGGCGTCATTTTTGCACATGTCTGGAACAAAATATTTTCTGCAAGGCCCTTTTTGCTATCATCAAAAGAGATTACCCTCGCAGCAATGAGAAACACATCATCGGGGATGGTCTTTGAGTTCCATACAAGGGCAGATAGTCCAACACCGGGGAAGATGTAGGAGTTGTTACCTTGCCCTGGTTTATAGATTTTACCCTTGTATTCGACATCATCAAATGGTGAACCGGATGCGAATAGAGCTTTGCCCTGAAATATACAGTAAATTACTGCACCACAGTGTCGAGTTGTAAATCTCGTACATCGGAATGCTCATAAGCCTCTTTAGCTGTGCATTCAGATTTCACAGTAGGATTTGAAAGTGCAAAGATGATTGGATGTTCATTATTCTTGGTCATCTCCTTGATAATCTCCGGGGTAAAAGCTCCACCTTGTGTTGACACACCTGGAAGCATAATTTTTCCCTTTATCAAGATGCTCGCCACAAACACTCACCAATTATTGCATTAGGCTTGAATTTTTTGACAAGTTCGTAAAGGTTATTCATATCTGGCATATCCTGAAATTTTTGTTCCATTGTGAAGGTCGGAGGTCTAGTTGGCCCAAAATCAGTGTCCAGATGACATCTGGTAAATCGAACATCTCACACGCATGTCATTGGAGCAAGCCATTGCTCAAGAGGCTGCTCGAATGATTCTTAGGTGGCCATTAATTTCAACAATTCTCGCCCACTATCGTATCCGAGGCCGCTGCCGGTCCGCAGGATTATACGGTCTTGGAAAGTTTGATTTCTGACTGTGAATGAACCACTTGAGCTGGCACTTGAGCAACGGATTGAGTCCTACCGAAATTTCTTGTACCGATCGTTCAAGGAATTTCGGTACCAGATTTGGCCGAAACAATGCCTTAAATTTTACAGGACCTTTGCAAACTTCATATGTCGAGGTGTCATTGACTCAGCATGTTTCTTTGTTACCAGACCTTCCTTGTCGTTCATGTAAATCATACTACACGCTTGTTCCTCCGTAGCACCTTCCACCTTCATTTGGGCCACTATCGCCTCTGCTATTCCTAGTCCTGCCTGGAAAGTTTTACCTTATTACCCGCTTCAAAGCTAGCTATCAAAAATTTCGTACAGCCCCAGCTCCATGGAAAAGGAATTTTTGCTCGCAAAGCTTCTTTTTTGTTACTCGAGTACTTGTTATCAACCCAGAAAGAATTATTGCCGCTGTGCCTAAATCGAAATCTCATTTTTGCTGTTAATTTTCTGCCGCCCTAGCTTACCTTGTATATCATCATTGAATGTACAGTAGTCGTTTCTGTATTTATCCAGCAATCTGAAGGCATTTTGGAATGCGAAATCCTCAAACTGTACAAGTGTATGCCGTCCGTATCTGCAGATCTTTCTTTTAATCTAAGAAGAGGTGCTTTCAAAAGCAAATTTACCTTTTCCCTACAGCTTTCAAAAAATTGTCAACAAGACGATCGTATTCTTCCCCTCGTACGCGTTTCTTTCGTAGCCCAGTGTACAACGGATCCTTCAGAAGTTTCTAGAACGGAATATACATTATTGATTAAAAGAAACATGTTCTTGTTTGGGCAAACTTCGTTGTTGGTGCCGACGTCTAAAGTCACAGGTAAACACCATCTAGGTCTAATTCCTCCTAATGCGACATAGAGAGAAAGTTTTCCTATGGGGATACCCATACCATAGGCACCAAGATCGCCAAGGCCCAAGATTCGTTCTCCATCCGTGACAACGATAGCCTGAATTTCAACAATTTCGAACGAAAATTCATGTAGAGGGGTGGAGCTCACTCTTATATCTCGGAATGGCCAATTGCTGAGTATTCGATAAATTTTGGTGATACTGTTGTCATTAATTGTGATATAAACGCCCCTGAAATCTTCCTTTCTAATAATTTCGAATGAGATTTGAATCAAACATACTTCGGATGTCGATAGATATGTCCGAAATTCTGGCAAGCTGTGCCTACGACTGGTGTGTAAACGAGTGGCATGAGCTCCTTTACATAGTCATGCAAAAGTTGAAAAAACAGCTTTTCATTTCGGTTTTGCAGGTCGTCAAGAAAGATGTACCTAGAAAAAGATAACAGCTTTTTTTTAACTTAAAAGCGGATTTGTGGCGTATGAAAAAAACTACTTCAAAAGCGGGTCTTTTGCCTCACGAATTCTTTTCATTTCCCTATATTCCTGTTGTTCGATGGTCATGACAGCAGGAGGAAGAAGGCCAAGTATGCCAAGATAGTGACGTTCGCGCAAGTTGAAAGCCATGTCCTGGATGTTTCAGTGTCAATAGGCATGCTGGAAGAGTTACCAAAATGACACAAACCTTCATAAATCGTGGATTTTTCAAGATTGCATAGCCTTTGGCAGCGGGTGTCACTCGCTCAATCCGATACAATTTATGTAATGCCAAGACTTTTGGATTTGACAGATCATGGGATTGACCTTGTTTCTTCTGGGATGTGGTTGTAACATTGCGTACATTGCTTCTGATTGTGCTGAAGGCTTATCGTTATTTTCCAGCTTCAATATATCGAGTCAGCTTCTGTCAAAAACTTAGCAGCGTCTAGGCGAATCTGGACAATGAGGCTGATTTCACTAAAAACTAATCGTGCGGCTCTTATATGGGCCCCGAGCAGCAGCTCAAATATGCCCCACGTGCCAGATTTGCCTAGCTGCCTTTGCAAAGAAAACATTCTTCTGACCAAACTGATGGTGCCTCAACGACCATATGGGTACATATCACTTCGCTTTCTTTCTCCACTGACGGTGTCTAGCGCCGGCAACCCCTGCGAGTATTAGGTTCTTGAAAACCCAACTTTTCAGCTCTCGTGCGCCGCGTACAAGGCATGGTTAGGGATGAAACTGGACACAGACTATCCGTGGAAAGTCTATGGCCTCGGGCGAAGTTCATACGATTCCATCGTCGCGATTCATCACGACAACTGTAATGATATCATTGCATGCCAATCTTCTTGCATTTCGGTGTGATAGTTTTTCGACACGACTAATCCTGACTAACTATCACAACCAAAATACAGAAGATCGGTAGGCAATGAACAAGTAAAATTGTCTTGTCGCGATGAATCGCGACGATGAAATCGCGTGAACTCTGCCCGAGCCTATAATATACCGCCCATACTCAACTGTGATGATGGGCAATTAACATGATATCATTGTCATACCAGTTGTGGGTATGGCTCATTTGACGAAGCAGGTGGTTGGGCATCCCAACTCCTCCATCTCCTAGATAAGGTTGCAAACATAGATCACAGCCTTTCAGTACGAATAAAAAATGGCAGGAGTTCCTTCACTCTCGACTACTGAGCAAGTTTTGGCAGGGAGCTTGACTACCTTTCGAAGCCGTTCTGTACATAATCAACGCCGATCTATACCTCACTCTCCTCTGCTGAAATTGTCTACCTCACACTTAGGCTGCTGAGCAAATGAAGCTACGCCATCGTGTGGAGTGTAAGGGAAGTGGACGGAACACTGGATAAAGGATCAGTTAGAACAAACTGCTGATCAAGGATATCACGAGAAGTTCGGATTTGTGCAAAAGAATAGCTTGTCTGCAGTTTTCTAGGCGGAACTCACAGTGCTGTTGGTAGTCTTCTCAGCATCTTCTCTCTGGAATGCAGTAGAATGTGCGCCCTGCGCCTATTGACATATCTTCAACATACTGCTTGAATGAGACTCTTCTTCGAGTATTAACGTTAGGTCGAGTTCAACCGTAAGTAGGCCGGTATTGCAGAAATGAAACAAACCGTGATTTGCTACTCTTTTATACTCTCCAAGTTTTTGTCAGCTTATCTCTTAGCAATACATCTAGCGGTACCACTTCATCGTGCAGTAGTCATAATCATTTGTTGCGTATGGTTTTGCGCAGCACCGTTATTTGTGGCTAATGGTGTTGCGCAGCACCGCTATCTTTAGCGTATGGTATTGAGCAGCACCGCTATCTGTGACGTATGGTGTTGCGCAGCACCCTTATCCGTGGCGTATGGTGTTGCGCAGCACCGTTATTTGTGGCTTATGGTGTTGCGCAGCACCCTTATCCGTGGCGTATGGTGTTGCGCAGCACCGCTATCTGTAGCGTATGGTATTGCGCAGCACCGCTATCTGTGGCGTATGGTGTTGCTCAGCACCGTTAGCTGTTGCGTATGGTGTTGAGCAGCACCGTCACTTGTTGCGAGTGGTGCTGAGAAGAACCGTCACTTGTTGCGAGTGGTGTTGACCATCACCATCATTGCGGATGAATTCGAGCAGCACCACCACTTGTTGCACACAATGTTGAACAATACCACTATTTATTGCTGATGGTTTCGAGCGGCATCTTCATCTTATTTGCACAGCACAATATATCGTGCATAAATGAACTACAGGAGTTTTCAATCTGAGTGTCACGGTCGACGTGGTTCACCCCCTCGAGAGCCACCTCGCTTGGGTCTCTCACATGGTACACTACCGCACCCGATAACGCGAAGGCCTTAGCGGATGCGGCATTGTGTCACGTGAGACAAAGACCTGAGCCACGTCGACCGTGACACTCAGATTGAAAGCCCCTGTACAGGGGCTTTCAATCTGAGTGTCACGATCGACGTGGCTCAGGTCCTTGCGAACCGCCTCGCATGGGTCTCTCACGTGGCGCAATGCCGCATCCGCTAGGGCCTTCGCGTTATCGGGTGCGGTAGTGTACCACGTGAGCGACCCAAGCGACGCGGCTGTCGAGGGAGTGAACCACGTCGACCGTGACACTCGGATTGAAAACCCCTGTACATTTGTTCTCAATACGTACTGGTCTTTTCTACCGTATGCCTTCCAGCCTCAACATGACGTGGATTGATGATGCGCCGCATCGCTTCGGGCTTGCGCCACGTTGCTTTTCTCGCCACGCCACGCCAAACGAGTGTCCGCTACGTGGTGCAAGCCCGATGCAGGCGGCGCCGCACCAATCTACGTCATGTTGAAACTGGAAGGCATACGGTAGGAAAGACCAATACGTATTGAAAACGACTGTACCTGCCCAGTACATAATGCGCAAATCTGACAAGGAGAGGATACTTAGTCGAAAGCACCAATCCAGATGAGACATATATCGTCTTAAAGCGCTTTCTAGCTGCGGAGCGGTTTTGTAGAAGGAGTTATGAGGGGTGTTTCCTCTGGGGTTGAGGCGCCCTCCACCAGTGGCCGTATTCATCAACGAAAACCCAGTGGGTTCCGGAACCCAGTTTAGTGCTTTTGATGAATATCGATGTAGAATCGATATTCATCAAAACCACTAAATGGGTTTCGGAACCCACTGGGTTGTTCGTTGATGAATACGGCCACAGGTCTCCCCCTACCTATGAGCACTGTAGAGGAGTACCAACTGGTGGCAACTGACCTAGTGGTAAGTGACATGCTTGATAAAGAGAGTGTCAAGGTTTTAATCCCCTTCGCATGCTAAATTGATATTCTAAATGGCTTTAAAGCCCTAAAGCATGAAACTTTTGATGATATCGATACTAATCGAAGTTAGAAGTGTTAAAAAACCAAAGTAATATGAGTATTATAATCTTTACTGTAATCTTCATTCAAATTACTTACCATTAGATCATTGCCTCAGCTGATACTCCTCTACAGTGCTTACAGATACGGGGAGACCGCTGGAGGGCGCTTAAACCCCAGAGAGGGACACCCTTCATAGCTTTTTCACAAAACCGCTTTGCAGCTAGAAACTGCAGATTTGGAATCAGCGCTTCAAGCGCTTTAAGAGATATATGTCACATCTGGATTGGTGCTTTCGACTAAGTATCCTCTCCTTGTGAGTGTCCTTCATCAAGTTGACGCAGCAGGCCGGTTCAAGTTTGTCAACACACTCCCTTTAGGTAGAATCTCGCTAGTTTTCAAACGATGGGATTTATATCACCACTAAACCTTGTCTGGTTGTGAGTGCAAGTTATAATCTGTCGCGTGACGTTCAAACCAAACTGCAGTTTATACCTGCCATATCCAAAATGATGACTGAGTAAAAAGTCGCAAACTCGCTTGAACAGTGCAGATTTCTGCTAGTAAAGTCAGTGCGGGTCCCTGCTTAAGCCACTTCATTCCTCATTTGTACACGTCAATGTCTAACCAAATCAGTCACAACATTTGAAAATGACGAAGTCGTTGAAGCCTCACTTTATCAACACCCATAATTATAAGTCATCACAAGATAGATAACATAGCAGTGAAATACTAACAAACCGTATTTCTAACCGGACAACCACGAGGTGGAGAATTGTTTTTACTAAGAGAAATAAAGAAAGAGACATGCAAGTCATGAGAGATCGAGCAATTAAAACAGCTGGAGGTCTTCTCAGATTTTTTAAGCTCTCTTAATCATCAAAGTAGCGTTTGAGATACACATAGACACGTAAGCTCCTAGTTACCTATGCACTTTGTGCGGGATTTATCTTCTACTTGAAATCAGCGAAACCATACGCCTGTTTGATTTCAGCTCTATTCATCGTCCATAGAAGAACGTGCCAGGACCGGAACCGGAAATCCGTGCTTGGAATCTTTCGCTGGCCAATCGTAAGTTTTGTTTATTAGCTCATCATATTCCACAGAGTAGATCTGTGAGCGAATATACATCTCCTAAAATGTGCGTGTATACAAAGTAGTCAGAAGAGGACACACTATTACACCTTATCCTCTGGTTCTGGATGAAGTGTGGCCAGATCGTTCTCGTAGAGGAAATTGCCTACCTAAAAACTAAGCTTCATAGAAATTTTCCAGTTACAACATTTTGACAGGAGAATTTTGGGACAAGCTGCGGATGTTAGCGAAAAAATAAAGACGCTGTTGGTTACATAAAATTCTAGATATTCAATCGCGATCCAAGCAAACTCTGCTCTGAGGCTTACCTGACATGCTGACCACAAAATGATATTCTCCATGAGAATATTTATTATACTTTTAAAGTCTTGGTAGTGCACGATAAGGACGAAACATCTCAACATTGGTAACTGCAGTAGGGTACATGACGTTTTTAGTCAAATTTGTTTGCCTACTGCCTACTTACTATGACCCCTCGAATTAACTGTGTATTGACGTTTGTGACCAGCGCATCAGAGATAACCCCTACACTGAGCCCAGTAAAAGCGAAATTTTCTAGCATTGTTCAAACTGGCACCAAAAATTTAAGCTCCATCGTTCTTACTCTGAAGCCCATAGAGATAATGACAGGGGATCCAAGGCCTCTTGATTTGTACTGACCATTGTCATACTGATAAGATAAGTAACCTTACATCTATAGCTATATGGACAGACAGTTCTCTTATGTCCTTCAAACGAGGGTAGAGTCTTGCATACTTCTCCAGAGATTTCACGGTAACCGATTGGGCGCAGCGCTAAATATAATTTTTTTTCCGTTTCTCAGTTTATTGCTAATAAACCCACCCTTGCCGCAATCAAGAATGCCTTGTTAGGTATGTGTTTTGCTTTGAAGACAATCGCAGCCAGTGCTACTCCGGGAAAGATGTAGGAATTGTTTCCTTGGCCAGGCTTGTAAGTTCTGCCATTCAATACAACGTTGTCGAATGGAGATCCTGATGCATACAAAACAGATCCCTGGAATCTTGAATGAATTTTGCAGTAAAACCGTTTCTATTTCATTACCCACATCTGTATGACGATAAGCGTCTTCGGCAGTGCATTCGGCTTTGGTTGTTGGATTTGAGAGGGCGAAGATTATAGGACGCTCATTAATTTTGGCCATTTCTCGAATTATTTCTTCTGTGAATGCTCCGCCCACGGTGGACACTCCTAGGTAGGGGTTTTTAAAGTCGGCCGTCCGCAGTAACAGCGAGGTAGCTCTCCTTACCTATGAGCGCCTCTGGCTTAACCTTCTGGATGACTTCCAAAAGACTTTTTGTTTCAGGCATATCCTGCAATTGAATTTAGCAGTAACCCGGGATTTCCCAAAAAATTCTACCTTCGCGCATTTTTTATGACGTTCCGTCAGTGAACGTATACGACTTTTAGTGACAAGACCGCCAACATCCATCATATAGATTTTGTCCCAAGCCTCTTGCTCGGATATTCCTTCATCGACCATTTGGTCAACGCAGAGTTCTGCTATTCCCAGTCCAGCCTGAAAGTGCTCCACTAGTCTAATGCTCTAGACTTCCTGAAAACCTTTCACTGAGTTTTTTGTCAGCTTACAGCTCCAGCCCCAAAGAACACTATTTTCTTTTCCGACAGCTTTTTGTTGGTAACTCGAGTAGCGGCTAGTAGTCCGGCCACAACTACGGCAGCGGTACCTGCGTGACAGACATAGAACTTTAAAAGTCGTTCTCAGTTAATTGAGATTATTTGAACTGAAATTGGAAGTCAGTGCAATTAAATTCATCCAAATTTCATCTAAATCTCAAATTCAACCAGTCTTTCGATTACAGTTATTGGACAGAATTTATGAGATCAGATTTACCCTGAATGTCATCGTTGAAAACGCAGTACTCGTTCTTATATCGATCCAGGAGGGTGTATGCATTTTCGAACGCAAAATCTTCAAACTGTATAAGTGTATCACGTCCGAATCTGAAGACACAATATATTAAGTTATCTTCGTCCCTTCATTTATTGCGCAATTTTTTAGTTTTATTCTAAAGACATTTGCGCATACCGTTTGGTTGCCGCTTTCATAAAATTGTCCAGGAGCAACTCATATTCTGGACCGCGAACTCGTCGCCTCCTGAGACCGATGTAGAACGGATCGTCGAGAAGTTTCTGAGGATGCTCTGTTATTTTTTCCTCTAAATTTTGAGGGCACATACCTGATTGTTGGTGCCAACGTCTATAACTACAGGAAGACACCACTGAGGCTGGATCCCTCCTAGTGCTACGTATAGAGCAAGTTTTCCAACTGGAATACCCATTCCATAGGCTCCGAGATCTCCAAGACCAAGAATTCTCTCTCCATCAGTCACGACTATAGCCTAAAACGGCAGATAGCCTTTACTTGAGAAGTGCAGTTGAAAATCAGATCGCATCGCTCTTCTTCCTATATAGAAATTTCTCTTACCTGAACAGATGAGCATGGCCAGTTACAAAGAATTTGATGAATTTTGCTTATACTATTGTCGTTGATTGTTATGTAGAGGCCTCTGAAAGTCGAACTGTAGTTCGCTACTCTTTGCTGTTATAAGAGAAAACATGATTTATGAAATCGATATTTGCTTTACTTATATAGTTTAATACTGACTTCGGATGGCGATAAATTGCGCCAAACTTTTGACACGCCAAGCCCACTGTAGGAGTGTAGACTATAGGCATCAGCTCCTTGATATTATCGCAAAGTACGCGATAGAAAAGCTTCTCGGTTCGATCTTGTAGTTCATCGAGTTGCACATATCTGAACAATCAAGATATCAGTCAGCTAAACTTTTACACTTTCTTTTAGGGAAGTTTTTCAACCTTGCCAGGTCATCTGGTTGCTCTCGTAATTTCTTCATAACTCTATACGCTTGCTGTTCTTCGGTCATAAAAGCAGGTGGTAGCAGGCCGTGAATTCCCAGATAGTGACGTTCGTAGAGTGAGAAGGCCATACCCTATAAAGCGGATCTCGATAGCTCTTGACACTGCGAATGTCTACGGTATTTGAGCTCACCTTATTCAGCCGTGGGTTCTTCAAAAGATCGTAACCAGGGTCAAGCGTGTGATGCGACTGTCGCAACGGGGGGTCGTAGGCGGGGTAACGGTAAGGGGGGGGGGGTCGTAAAAGGAGGTAGTTTGGATAAAAAACCGAAAGCATGGAAGGAAATCGAATGGAACGTATTTTAAAAGATTATGACTTAGTTCATTTTTTTCTATGGGAAACACTATTTCTCCCGCAAAATATTGTCGCAAACGGGGATCGAACCCTGCTGGCATGACTAAAACTTAAAAAAATAAACACTTCTAGAAGCTCAAATGCTACTAATGGCATGGATAAAGATAAAGATGTAGACATATATGTGATAAAGATGTTGGATGCACCGAATGGTGTGAAAGTCCTGCTTCCGAAGGCTCACTGAAGACTCACACGTTCGAAAAAAGAGCAAATCTCTATCAACGCTAATCATCAATAATTTGTAAATCTGTTTGTAATGCTTTTCATACGGTCCTTACAATTTATATGTACTTTAGAGGTGCTCTACTACATTTGTGCAGAATTTGGTCCTACTTTATAGCCTTCTTATTTTCTTATGATTTTATGTATGGTGGCAAAAAATGACAAAGGGGGGTCGTATCTGGGTCGCATCTAAATTTTTCCAAAGCTATTGAAGTTTATTGGCTGTAATTCTGCTGTAATACGAGGCCATCCTCCTACTTTCTATCCTAAAAATTTCAGGCCGTTTCATTACTTCTCCGATGAGTTACAAGTTTTCAAGCTTAAAAATCCCAGTATTTGATTTTTAGGATCGCATCTAAATTTGTGAGAGTCGCAACTAAATTTTTTCGAGCTCACTGCTTCTCAAGGGCTGAAACTATTTCTGTAAATAGTCTGGGCGCTATGCTATAGAACCTGTTCATTGCAGCCTCTCAGTCTTTTCCTGGCCTTAGTTACGAATTTTCAAACTACCGTGCTCATGCACGTTTTTGACATCGTTCTGGACGGCGCTAAAGCGGGTTTTTTCGCGGAAAAAACTGTGCAAGAGGTAGAAAGTAAGCTTCTTAGTCGAAAACATCTTTTGTAGTTCAAGAATGTCATTTTTTTCTCGGTGCAAAAATTCGTGTCGCATACGGGAACCGAATTTGCTGGCCTGAAGTATGCCTGAAAATTCAAAAAAAGTTGCAGAATCTCAAACATTATTGAAGGTGTGTATGTGCTACAGATGCTGGGCGCACCAATCGGCCTAGAAATTCTGCTTCCGAAACCTCACTGAAGTTCTCACGCAGGTGTTTTTGAGATTGACATTCGTTTATGCAGGTTACCGCTAGGAATGTGGGCAGGGGAGGTAAGGGGGGTAGATGGGGCGGGGGGTAGATGGGGCGGGGGTCGTACGGATGGGTACCCTCAGGGGGGGGGTCGTAAGTGAGGCTCCCGGATCACATCAACACGCTTGACCCTGATCGTAACCCTTTTCGCGTGGTGTTACTCTTTCTGGACGGTACAGCTTGTGCAGAGCTAGTTGTTTTGGATCATTCAGATCCACTTCCTTGGAAGCTGTATGCGATAGTGACATACTTCGAATGCCCAAAGTGAACCTAAACCTTTCCTAAAGTGACTCTTGAGATGACCCCTCCCAGGATTACTTACAGTGTTTGCTGCTGAACACGAATCATAGCCTCCGTCAAGTGGAATCTGATTCCTAGAAAAAAGTAAAGTTTTATGGACCGACGTTACTGTGCAACATCAAACCGATACTATAGTAAAAGTATAAGAGGAACTGAGGGAAATGAGGGGGTCAATGAAGCGGAAATAGCTTATTTTAACATTCAAAACGATTTAGATCTTCCAGATGAATTTTCTGTGAACACAAAACCGCATATTTTAGAGTAAAATCAATCAGTAGTAATCAGTATTTTAGAGTAACCATTAATTTGTCGTAAATGTGAGCTCACTTTCGCTCTTGTAATGGTCGCCTCTAATTGGTCAGGATGCAGCTGCAATTGGTCAGCTAGCAAAATGCCATCAAATTCATAGATGCTATACCTTTCTGCCGTAAATCACGAACGTATTCTGCAGTTTTTTCCTGCTTTTGTTGCACTCACTCGTATTATGGGCATTGGAATGAAAAGATTTTGCAGTTAGAACAACATCACCACGTAAAGGCATACGCTCTGTGTAGCGGCACGCATTGCTAGAGCATGAAAAAGCAGTTTGTGTTTGTAATGCGGCCGAATGCGGCAGTTTATACTTCAAAGGTCATATTGTGCACTTCTGTGGGCGTATACATCAACGAACCAGCGTTCCTAGTACCCAAAGGGGACGAAAATTCGATACAAAAAGCACTGCTAGGTTCTCGAACCCACTAGTTTCGTGAATATCGATCTCGTGGGCTAAGCCTGTTCACTAATTGTAAGTAACGGAACTCAATGAATTCATGAATACGGCTGCTGCATCTTGCAATCGTCAGTCGAATGCTGCCCATTCGGGTAAACCCTGAGCTGCTCCTGCTTAGCTGATGACTCGAATTCCAAGTACCCGATTTTTAACGAGTATAAACATGAAAAAAAAACATAGTTCTTGATGCTGTAATCTGTGCGGAAAAATCTACTCTCAAACATCTGCAATGTCTCGTTTTCTAGACTTGCCCCCTCTTCTCAAAATCTCATTTTAGTCCGTTAATGTACCGCAACTTCGAATGTACCATTACTCCCCTTTCAGCGAATTGGTCCTCTTTCAGTGATATTCCCATACTGAACTCCGCTCTCTATTCTTACTCTACTCTCAACCTTCAGTAGGATGTTTTTCTGCACGGATACTTCAGCTTACAACGTGTTTACTGAGTGGGTCAGAAGCGCTGTACACCCAAACTGTGGATGCTGAGTTCCAATGCTCAATAAGAACGAGTCCCTAACTAAGTATTCGCAGAAGCGATTTCGCTTCAGAATTCATTTTCTGCAGCGAGACCTGGTCGAACTTAATCAGGGGCATTCATAAGGCACAAAACGTCACTACCCTCAGTGTGGGTAGAAGGCGCCTTCAAGCAAAAAGTCAACAGTCAAAAACGAAGGAAATCACATAAATGTAACATAGCCGCAAAGAAAACAGGAAAAAAATTATATGCGTTTCTTTCTCATGCACTTCTTTGTCAACATCGCAAAGGCTGCAAGCGATGCTTATCCGGCAGTGAAAAAATAACTGCAAAGATGAGGAACGCATTCAAATTACATACATACACCACCGTGGCTAAATGATGCATGTCAGAATAGCAAAAGAACTCGCACTTCAACGCCGCTGAGAATGACTAGTGTCGATAGCTTTGTGTACCCTATCGGACACCAGACTTTTTCGTTCGGCACGACTTTCCCAAAAAGACTTCTTAACAAGGTTCATTTCTCAGCGTTCACTCTTCGCGTTCAAATGACCCGTGTGTCGAGCACTATAAGTTGGAATGAGTGGCGGTTCGAAATTTTTTAGGAGAGGGGGGGGGGACGGAGGAATGGGTGCAACCAGATTTCTCTTACGAAGAGGAATGACGTTGGCTATATCCTCTTCCGAAAAAAAATTTTGGGATAAGTTCTTGATGGGCTCATAACCTCGACATGTTTTTGAAAAAGCTACTTTTTATCCCCCGCAGTGGTAAGCATAAGTTTCTAATAAAATCTAATGATGTACGAAGTTGTGAGAATTGCGATGATCCAAAAGTCGAAAGTATAACTCATTTATTCTTATTAGAAGCATGCTTAGCACTGTTAGGTTGAGCAGTCGGTGCAACTTTGTGTTTTCATTAACTTTCAAGGAAGAATAACGACTTTGAAGAAAAGACGGATGACCGCCAGAGATTATCAGGGGATCATACAAAAAGCTGGAAAATGCGGCCTGTACAACTTCTTTCTCATGTTCAGTATGTTCATAGTGAAAGAACAGTATGTTCATAGTGAAAGATAGTAGTTCTTAGTAGTGATACTTAAGGACGGATAGACAGCGTGTAATCAAGATTTGGAACTTTAAGCTACGAAACTTTCTTTCAAGCTGCGATCCCCTCTCCGGCGGTGTCAGGGCATGCGGTCCTTGTGCTCTAGGCACTTTCCCACGAAAATTCACGCGGCGCGAGATCGAGCGATGCGGCAGCGAGGCAGCCGCTAGAACGGCGACACTCTGACGTGAACAGCTTTATCTCACTTATTATATACCTGCGCAATTATTTATCACTTGCACAGCTATAACAAAAACAGTCTATTTTGCTTTCGACTCGCACCGTAATATCTCACAGGTGATAAAGTGACCCACGTCTGCAGTATATCTGCCGCTCGGTTAAACAAATGAAAGATTAGAAAATTAAAATAACGACTGCCTCAATTACGCGCCGCCTATGCGGACTACTGGTCCTAGCATGGCATGCACTAACATATGCCAAAGACCAGTGGTCCGCGGAAGGGCGCTTAGTTGGGTGTTCGTTTCTCCGCGTATAGTTCAATATTAGGAGGTTGGAAAACAACTCTACAAACGAAAAACATCGAAATTAAATTTTTTCGAAGATTCATCAGAAAAGGGTGGTTCACTTCTGGCAAACAAAGTAGGAGAGGAAGCGAGCGAGTCACATTTGAAGCATAAAAAGATAGGGACAAACGACAAAAACTCTGCAGTCCCATTAAGTAACACATTAAGTTTGATGCATATGATGCATGGGATTATTCACAGTAAATATCATGATGCATGGATTTCAGATGAATAATCGCGGATGCATCAAGCATTGTTGGAGAAACAAATGGCCAGATAAATCACACATGCTATGTAATCAAAACCTCGCTCATGTTCAAGGAAGCGTCAAGGGCAACATTCGACAATGAAACTGGAAGAGAATGGAAGATGCATAGAAAATGAAATGCAAATTGAGAAGAATTGCTGACGTATGTAAACAATGCGAGATGCGTTTAAAATTCATAAGGTCACGCACGCCTTTGCGACGGGACCCATAATGCAGAAAGTTCTTGCGCGGCTCTCCCATACCATCCTGCACCAAGAACTATCTACTACCATGGGCTCAGCTCCAAATGATGTCTTTCGTAATCTGTACGTTCGATTGAGCAAGGGTTGGATATTTAGTGTTTTTGCACCATCAGTAGCACATTCCACAAGTAAAGTATGGCTGAATGCTTCTTTCGCAATACTAACAAGGGAAGGATACCAACATTAGTTGGCAATTGAAAATGAGATGTATACCAGTAGATGCATCTTTGAACGCTGATTCCAAACCTGCTTCCTTTTTTTGCGGAATAAGTTTCCGAAAGAAGTTGTGAGCGTTTGAATGTCCAAATTTGTCAAGGTTTAGGTGGCCTAAAGTTGACGAAACGATGCACAAAAACATCGGAAAGCGGGAAATCAGTTTTGTCCCAAGCATATTGCTTGCAATGAAGGAACAAAGCCAATGGAAGTTTGCTTAAGTATTGTCTTAGAGCTTTTCGCTGATTTTATGCCATTCAATGCTTGGCAAATTTGGACATTTAAGCGCTCATAACTTCTTTCGGAGAGTTGTTCCGCAGAAAAGGAAAGCAGATCTAGAATCAGCGTTCAAAGGCGCGTCTATTGATATACATCTCATCTTCAATCGCCGACTAATGTTGGTATCCTTTCCTTGTAAGGCCCAAGCGCCAATGCTAAACGTTGCTCGTAGGCCGTTGATTCAGCTGCGCGCCAGATATGCTCGTGGCCTTCAGCCTACAGCGATATGACGATTCCCTGCAGTCGACCATACCAAGCAGTCAGAAACGTCAGCGTGAAGTCGCGCCTGCAGTGCTATGGTGTGCGCTGCGTATGCGCGCAAAAAAATGTCAGGAATTTTCAAAGCAAATGGTAGGGAACAACCAGCGATTTGCGGACGCATTTCGCAGTGATGCAGATTTAGCCATGGGTGGGGGGGGGAGAGAGAACGCACATATGAATTTGGGACTTACCTGGGCGAAATTAATCTTGCATATTTCGGAACTGTAAAATTCATAACTTGAGATAGGGAGTAGACGGCGTTACTTTACTGATGGCGTCCGCTACGCGAGCACCGTATGAGGGCTTTAATGTATAAGAAGACGTATAATTTATGGCAGATATTTGCGCTGTGAAGAATATCGGCAGCATAACTCCTCTACCCTGAGATAGCCAGTCTCAATAGGGGACTGACTAGCGTAGACTAGTCCTTTTATGCCCGCGCTTATTAGCACACTCTAAAACGCAGGCAAGCTCAATCTTCGCAAACAGTAAAAAATGTGCTAACAAGCCAAACTTGAGAGCTGCTTAGTCATTGTCGCCGCGACTCATGCCTACTGGAGAAGCGTCTGACAAAGAAGGGTCGCAAAGTTGATGTGGCTGATTACCACACGATGCATACCGTTAGAAAGAGGTTGTAGCAATGTTTCCAAATCTGCCTTCCATAGCTGTAGAACGCTTTTCTGGGGGAAGTTATGGACGATTTTACCGTCAAAATTTGCATGTTTTCGAGTGATATAAACAGTGGAAATTATTCAAAGTGATTGCGCTAAAGGATAACATTTTAAAAGAGTCGGCTTCACATCAAACGTAGTCGCTGTTCCAATTGGGTTTTGGTCCAAAATGCCTCGGCCTTGATAATTTTGGCTACTCTGTCTTTGCAAATTTCTCGCAAGTAAAAGTTCTAACTTCCGCCCCAGAAAGCCTTTTGCGGATAAGGAAGGTAGA